GGAGACAGATGAGTCCCACAACTTTATTCATTAATAAAGGGATAGGTCATGGGCATTTCCCATGGGGTCTTTCAAACTGACAAAGGACACAGCCTCTTTTATCCCAATTTCCCAGCTGCAGTTCCCTCTCTCTTTCCCCATTGGCTGAGGTACTCAAGAGGTCTAGGCTCCCCGAAATGCCTAATGCAACCCCCCCCTTGATCATATATTTCCCCTTTTCAATATACATCTCTGTGTCTCTGCTCTTGTAGTCYATTAAACATAGTTTGGGGTAAGTCAATCAGTGGAATTCCTATGGAAATCCTTCCTATTGTTTCATTCTATCCCTCAGTATCAGCCTTACCTTACCTCCAGAGTCAAGTTTGTAAAGACGCTCTCTTCTCATTCCTTTCACCTCCAAGAAACCAGATTGCAAAACTGCAAGCAGACAGGAGCTCATTTTGTCATTAACAAGTGTCAGAGTTTCTGACTCTAGTTTAGTCATGCTTTTTACAGTAGGTAAGTCCAGCATTATTTGTGTGGATCATCTTAGCTCCTCTCAGCCTGGCACAGATGCTTACACAATTGAAATCAAAGCCTCTGAATAGCATAGAGGAGTCATAGATTCCGTAGGTGATACAAAATCACACAGCCCTGTGCAGCACACACATTCCAGTAAAGGTTTTACAGTAAAACCTCTCATTTATCACAACTTCTGAAATAGATCCTTCTTGCAGACCTGTCATAATAGCTTTAGAAGTCCTCAATCAGTGCTGAAAATTAAGCTTTACTTTCAGATGGGCAAATAAACATTGGCAAGGATGTTGCAGAAACAAATAAACAGCAAGGTCGAGAGTCTCTCTGGCCTGTTTCCTTTACCAAGGGATTCTTCCAAATGTTATAAACAGGTATTATAGTGTTGGCTTTCGCAGATATTGAGATGGGTGCTATCTGTACAATGTAACCTTTTTTGCATAAGTAACTTAGTTATGCAGACACAGTGGTGAAATAATCACTGGTGGTTTTGGTTTTTCTTTTGTAACTCAGATATAGTTATAGAATACTTGTGATTCACTTGCAGTAACTGAAATATTGTAGATGGTGACTTAAACATTTCCATGAAGGATTTTTTTACACATTATAGCAAAACTGTACAAAAGCTGCAGGGAGAGCCACTAAGATTCTGAATGGGGCCCTGGCTGCAGCAGCACTGACCAAAAAGATAAGAAAAATGCATGAGAAAAGGATCACAGCTTAACACCTCCTGGCTATAGACTGCTGAATCAGCACAGACCCTGACAGCAAAAAACGTGAGAGTGGAAGGAAGAGGAGCTTTGGAATGTGTAGTGGGGAAGCCATTTGGTCAGAGGAGCTCATGGAATGTTGGTGCTCTGCTGCACAAAGGATCCTGGCTGGTGGGACCCCAACCTTCAGACAATCCCATCTGCATGGACCCCAACCTTCAGACAATCMCATCTGCATGGACCCCAACCTTCAGACAATCACATCTGCATGGACCCCAGCCTTCAGACAATCCCATCTGCATGGACCCCCAACCTTCAGACAATCACATCTGCATGGACAGCCCAGGGGTGCCGTGACCCATCAGGGCCCTGCTACGGACACTTCCCCATGGACAGTGACCATCTGCTGAAACTACGGAATAGGGGTCACACACACGGACCCCAGGAGCATAAACATCATCACTGCCCATGCTCTAAAAAGGCAGATCCATGTTAAACAGCTTCTGGAAAAGTTTGAATAGGCATAAATACCTATGAATAAGCATTAAGCTGATGCAACATGAAAAGTATTTAAAGAGGTCTCTGTCAATACCAGGTGTGCTTTTGGCAAACCACCAAGCATCCGGTGCTGTATCCTTTTGCTTTTATGTATCCTATTGTCATTTATTAAAACCTTTTAAATTTTAACAGGAGAGTGAACTTCATTTTTCACATGAAGCACTGGGATTGAATTCTAGCACACTGTACCTGGAGTTGTGCTGCAGCCCTGTAAACATGTGAGGCTTTGGCTGAGCATCAGGTAGCTGCTGTGTGGGAAAAGGGTTACCCACAAAGCTGGAAGTTTGGAATAAAAACAGGCATATGCCTTATTCATCTTCTTTTAGCCCTATGCTTTAAAAATGGTCCATATGAGTTGAATGAGGGGTAGGTAGGTTTGCCTCTGTTTCATGGGAGTATTTTTGGCATTGTAGCACCCGGGAAGTGCACATCAGTGGCTCCATCCCATCAACAGGTATATTCTCTAACATACACACACACACACACACACACACACACACACACACACACACTTGAAATCATCAGTCGTGGCTGTGGGACCAAAGGAGCATGAAGGACAAGTTTATGTGTCTACAGTCACTGCTAAATAGCTAAGAATTAAGGAAAATAAGACAGCTGCAGTAGAAAGGAGGTTTTAAAACGTCTCTGAGGTTTTTCCTACCAGGAAGAAGGCTCCAGAGAGGGAAATGAAGTAAGTGTTCTGACTGTTAAGTACTTTTCCATAACCATGTGTCAAAAGCTTGTCTACCATGTGAGCTCTAAACCAAAGCTGTGAGATGTGCATGGTTATTTCTTAAGTGCCAGATACTGACTTGGGTTGGTGTATTTCCATACATGTATCTCTCTGCTATTGGTTTTTGATAAGAAATCTCAGTGGACCCTTAAGGTAACAGGGGGCAAACTCGATCACTGATATGCTACCCTTGTCTCTGCAGACACCTGATATTCAACTGAACCATCTTTCACAACCATCTTTCTAATCCCTAATCCCTTCAGCCACAAGTGGAACTGGCAGTGGCCTGGAGGACTCCAGCCATCTTTCACTGCTCTACTATCCAGAGGCTTGCAAAGGCAAAGGCTGCAAGACTGTTCAGGCTTGCAAATGGCACATCACTGGAAAACTAATGCAGTGTTATTTTAAAAGAGAAAATATCAAATATCAAACCCCTACTCAGAGGAATTACATGAGAAACCACTAAGTGGAGCCAGCCACTAATTAGCTGGCAGATGAGAAAACTGAATTCAAACAGGATTTCAGGTGCCCATGTCACCCCACTGGCTTTCACTTTCCCTTCCTCAAAAGTCTAGACATGGGACAATTTGCTGTGATGTAAATTAGATGCATAAAACCACCAATGAACTTAGTAAAGTGATGCTGTGAAGACAAAATGATACATCCTTTTCCTATCTTTAGGAAAGAATTCTCCACCAGGTTTGCTATGCTTCCGATTCATTGTGATACTTTTTGTTTTATTTAGAAATCTTATGAACTTATATTAAAAGAGAATGCTCTTCCAAACTGAAATACAAAGAAAGTAAAGGAACAGAAATTGCATGTCCAATCTCACCACATTATTCCGTGTGTTTTGCTGCTCTCTTTCATTTATGAGCTTGTTTGCAAAGGATCCTTACCAGAGTCAGAGTAGTGCAGGGAGATTTAGGGTGCTTGTTTTTCCCAGAGGCTGGCATTAAATAATAGGCAAGGCAAGGGATTGTATAAACAATAATACGATTAGACTGTTAGACGCACAGTTAACATTTAAGGAGAGCAMGCCAGATCAAGCCCCTGCTTGCTTAGATGGGTTGCTCTGCTATTCTTTACAGCTGCATTTGTAGTTAATGGAAATTACTTTTAACATGTGAGATACTGTGTAATGCTAAGAACTCTTGACAACAATCTAGCACTTGATACTTGTCAGACACTTTWATAGCTTCAGCCTGAGCCTCTTACTTCTCCTGCTGCAGACAGAACAACGTGTGCCGTGACTGCTGCAAAAATAAGTTAATTAATGCRGGAAGAAGCTGGGTACCATGAAGACAGAAGTGCAGAACCTCTCACCACTGTCACCCTTGTATGCAGTGGAGGCTAGGAAATATAAAATAAGCAAGGCCTGAGGCTGTGTGTGCAATGATCAGGGCAGAAGGGAGCACTGTAGTCACAGAGCAAGGCATGGGCCCTCTGAAAAGAGAGTATGTGGTAATGCAGATAAAGGCAGGAGAAGAGCTTGTGCACAGAACCAGGCACATTGCAGCTGGAAGAGGATGTCTTATATTTGGAGAACTTGTAACTTCAGCATTTTTACGGTATGATTTTAGCCAAAAGGTGTGCTTTTAGTCTGAATGCTGCTGACATAAAAAAAGACATTAAACCATTAGAGAGTGCCCAAAGGAGGGCCACAAGGATGGTGAAGGGCCTTGAGGGGAAGCCGTGTGAGGAGCRGCTGAGGGCACTGGGTCTGTTCAGCCTGGAAAAGAGGAGACTGAGGRSAGASCTCAGTGTGGCCTTCAACATCCTCACCAGGGGAAAAGAGGGGCAGGCACTGATCTCTGCACTCTCCTGAGCAGGGACAGGACYCGAGGAAAACTGCCTGAAGCTGTGTCTGGGAGGTTGAGGTTGGATGTCAGGAACAGGTTCTTCACACTGACGGTGGTTGAACAGGTTGAACAGGCTCCCCAGGGCAGTGGTCACAGCACCAAGCCTGGCAGAGCACAAGAAGCATTTGGACRGTGCTTTCAGGTACAGAGTGTGATTCTCTGGGATGTTTCTCGGCAAGGCCAGGAGCTGGACTCGGTGATCCTGATAGATCCCTTCCAACTCCGCGTACTCTGTGATTCTGTGGTTCGAGCAGCAGGTCAGCGGTCCCTGGTGTGGGAAGGGAGAAGGGACTCTAAACGAGGCCGACTGTGTGAGGTGAACTGCAGCAACGCCAGCTGAGCTCAGCGGGCCAATGGACGGACAGGACACAACACCCTGGAGGGCCAGCGCTGAGCGGGCTGTGCTTCTGGTGCCCCCGATGCCGGATGTGGGGACACACGGAACCATACCCACACCAACGACACCATCCTGAGGGGCGGGGCGGGTCCGTCACCCCCTCCCGTCCCCCTCGGTCCCCGGGCGCTCTCGATCACCCCGTGAGGGGCGGGGCGGGAGCGCGGCCCCTCCCCCTCAGCCATGCCGCGGGGGCGGGGCTTAGCGCGCGCGCGCCCGCCCGCGGCACCGCGGCTGCGCCTCCCCCCGGCCCGCGCCCGCCGCTACCGCCACCACCGCCACCGCCGCCGCCATGGACAGCGACGAGGAGACGCTGGAGGAGATCGTGGAAGGTTCGTGTCTCTCAGGGAGCGGGGGCTGCCAGCGCCGGGCGCTGCCGCAGGAGCTGTGCTTGCAGGGGACGCGGGGTGATGGCGGCGGCCGGAGCTGGGCGCCCGGGGCCGTGCGACAGCACATGACATCACCGGGCTTATGCAACGGGCGGGCCGGGGCCGCGCACGTGGCGGAGTTTGGCCGGGGGTAGCCGGGGCCGCGCTGGCGCCGGTACCGGGTGGGCGCTTTGCGTGCCGCCCGCCGCCGAGTACTGTGGCCGCAGCGGGAGGCTCCGGACGCAGGGATGGCGGCTGCTCAGTACTGTCAAAAATAACTCATGACCGTGGTTTTCTGCCGCTGCCGTGCCCCCGTGCGGGCGGTGGCCCGCAACCCGCACTCCCCGGACGCGGCGGCCGGTGCCCAGTCCTTCCCCAGGCTGCTGAGGGAGCAGAGGATGCTCATTGTTGGGGAGACCCCAGGGAGCCAGGGCTTCAGTCACATAAGTGCAAATGGAGAAGTGATAAGAAAGAGCGACTCTGAGAAGACGCTGTGGCCATATCCATGGTCAGTAGGGCTGCAGCCGTCTGAATGGGAGCGGGGCGGGACACTTTATAGCGAATATACACCCTGTGTTTGCTCACCTCTCATGTGTRGAGAACTAACCCTTAAAGAGTTCTAAATCCATAAGCGCATGCCTTCTGGAAGTGAATTGCTGATGGTAACCTTAGCAGGCAGGGATGCAGCTCCCCAGCTCGCTGTCATCCCGTGAGGCGTCTGGGAGCAGGGAAACAAAACATGGCATCTCTGTGGGAAAAACATCTGTTCCCCAAAGATTCCTCGCAGGGACCATGGTCCTGCCCGGAGGAGCAAATCCGGGGTTTTCAGCTGTTTGGGAGCAAGGAAATGCCTAAGATGCGGGTAATGCCCATGTTCGGCGTGAGCTGTGTGTCTCTTGTAGCAGAAGGATTAGGCCTCAAAGCGAATTGCTCCGGAGAAGGTGTCACACACGGCAGCTTAGTGTGACAACAGACGTGAGCTGAGCAGCTGCTGCTCCGAGCTGCATTTATTGTCTAGGTTTGTAGCGACAGAACCAAAGAGAAGCTTCTTTGTGTAGAGCATGRGTGTGAGGGGAGTTGCTATGAATTGTGTGTGCCCTGTACTCTRACAGATCTGGTTTTCCCCTGCATTTCCTCCCCACTCTTTAACTATGTCTTCTTGCCCCACTCCTCAAGTTGTATGGGGCAAGGAGTCGYAGTTTGATCCTCACATGACAAAGTGTTCTGTTGTATCCTCGATTTGTTTGACATCTCTATGGGATAAAGGAACAAGTTTTAAAGCATCTTTTATTCAGCAGTAGTATATGAATGTGTGTTCATATACTGTTTTTCTGTTCATATACTGTTCAAAGCTGTTTTTCTGAGCAAGACAGAAGCTGGGTGCTCGTTGGGGGTGAACAGGATTTTGCACATAGCCAAAGGAAGTTAGAACTATCATAGAAATCGGCACTTTTATTTTTGTAGGGGGGAGGTTGTTTTATTGTAGTTATCCCCCAAACATCCATTTGGCATCTTTGTGGCCAGAATATTTTACTGATGATGCACACTGCATGTCATCTGTTAAGTAACAGTAACACTGACAGTAAAGGACTTTTATCTTTGATTTATGTACATCAGTGTTTTCGGTAAGTGACCCTAGAGTGAACTAGCCCCTATTAGGTAATTCCTTTTCTTGAGAAGTTAGTCATCTGAGTTAAGGAGGGAATCTTGGGGGACCCTTAATAAACCAACAAAAGCAAGGTTTTACAATAATTAAAAAATATGTTAAGACATTTTAGAGTTTTAGACATTTAGAGTCTGTTTTTGCAAATGGAGGAGAGTGGTGAGAAAGGAAAGTGGAACACAGTGCTCCCCATGAAATAATGAGGATTTTTTCCATTGGCTTAATCTGAAACAGAATTAGAGCCGAAGGCYTCAGCTATACAGAAAAAAGTTGCATTTGTGTTATGAAACTTGAAATTGTTTTTTTTTTATTATATTGTTGACTAAGAGAGACTTGTTTCTTGTTTTGTTGCAGCGGTAGGGGGATGGGTTTTTTTCTTAATAAGGGGAAGCTTCTAGCATATTAGAATAATTGGATTATTTGTATTGTGGCTGAGATTAAGACCCTGTATAGAGGCCATTGGATCAAAGCTGACCATTTAAATCACCGAGATAGTCTGTATCCTGCTGTGCAAAAGTCCTGACATGTGTTCTGTGTACAAGCATGGCAGCTTTTGTTGGACTTTGCATTCCAGCAAAATCTTGACAAAGCTGAATAATCACAGAGAACAAAATTGCAAGGAATTTTTTTCTTGTTGTTGTCGTTGCTTTGGGTATATTTTTAATAGTATGATGTACTAATATTATCAATATATTTTTTTAAATCCAACTGTTTTATAAAAAAGTTTTGCCCCTGTAGTGAAGGGGAAACTGGTATTGTTTGGGCTTTGTTAACTTACACGAGTGTACCCTTCCTATATTGATAAAATTTTTAATTAAAAAGACTTTTAATTTAAACGATAAATGTTAATATAGTTTTTGGTCTAAAAGAGTTGTCCACCTCAGAAATGTCTCTGATCTTTTAGTTAAATTGACATAACTGCTAAAAYTTGTCCTATTTACAAAAAGGGATGTCCTGACAGAATGGAAAGGAAAAGAGCCTTTCTTGTGTTTGGAAAGAGTAGGTTCTGTTTAAAGGGTTCCTTTCAAAATAATTAAAYGCCTTTAGTGATAGAGCTTTTTTACTTTCACCTTTCTCTCTCTTTTTTAGTCTATTATTTCTCTCACTTTGAACTGTTAAGCAGTGCCTGATTGGTTTTGCTAACTTCTTAAACTTTTAACTAGTTTTCAATCTAGTTTGAACTAGGGTCTTTAAGTGAGGGCACAATGATGTGCAGGTGCAAGGGAAACTTTGTGGAGCTTGCGTGGGAAGGGTGAAGGAGAGAATCCTGACTCTTGGATGAGTTCAGATTCCTTGCTGTTATTTTCTCTTTCTAGGTCCATTTCCACACTCAGTGAAGTCTGCCTAGCTTGTTCCTTCTCTGGGAACAGGACTCAGGGTTTGGTAGTACTGAAGTGTCTCTTGTTGCCTGCATCAACCTGGCCTGTAAATCAGTCCCCCTCTCACTGAAGTTTGTTTCTGCCYTTCTGCATGTGTGATGAGCCTTTTCATTTTAGGGTAAATTAGATCAAGGAAGAGCTTGACCCAAAGCCTGTACAAGTCATGTACTGTCTCTCATCACTTTAGGGCTGTGTGAGAGTGGGGAAATCAGAGGTAATGTTTTAGGTAGAAGCATGGAAGAACATAAATAAAGGCTAGCTGTTGCTTTTTTGACAGTTTTCATGCAAAATTTATATCTGCTAAAATGTCACTGTGGGAGCTGTAACACACACCTGGATATGTCCCTGTGCTGAGAGCAACCCTACTGAGATCTGCAGCCAGAGCTCACACARCTAAACCAGGCAATAACCATTGTTTAAAACATTTTTCTCTCATTTTCCTTTGGCTTTAAGAGGCAGTTAGGCATACAATAGGAGCCTTATTATGCTTTAATTGAGTAGAGCTGGCCAGTTATATTCGGTGAAACAAACCACGCAGGTGAAGATTCAAGTGTGTTGTCTGTCTGCTTTCCCTCTGTGCAACGGCTGTAATGGGAAAAACGGATATGGCTGGGGTGGGAACAGGATATGAAGTGAGTACATCAGAAAGGCACTGGAGAACGGCATTTAAATTACTAAATACCAAGTTGACTGACATATTGCAAGGGCACAACATTACAGATATTACATACTTTTATTTCTTGAAATTCCTGTGGATATAGATGCAGGGTGGCACACCCACATTATCATAAGGTATGTATTTTTCAAGAGAAAAAAAATCCAACCTTTTCTTATCCTGTTCTCATCAATTAATGTATGTTTTCGATAAAGAATTACTATACTTTTGAAGATGTAAATACTACAAGTTGGAATAATAGAAACGTTGTTTCTTTTAGAAACAATTTTTGCTTATTATTCTTTTCTCTCCTGTTTCTCATCCCRTTTCTTTTATTCTTTTATTTTTATTTTCAGCTATGTGTAGTGTAACACAAGTACAAACATCAGTTGTACAGAATCTCTGATCACTGTTCCTAACAGCAATGTYGGCAATTACTGTTTTGTACTAGGGAGCTACTGTATTTCAAGCAGCTACATAATGAGAGCAGRTTTGAAATTTTGTATAATAATTAATGTGTTCTGTTGCTCTTTGTCTGGATTTTATTTCAGGACATCTAGATGATGATGGGCTGCCACATGGATTCTGTACAGTAACCTATTCATCAACAGACAGATTTGAAGGAAACTTTGTGCATGGAGAAAAGAATGGCCGYGGCAAATTCTTCTTTTTTGATGGAAGGTACTCTCTGACTCTTTGATTTTTCTTCTGTATTCTTCTTTCTGCTTGTAGCAGTGAAAAACTAATCTACATGAAAAACTAATCTACGTGAGAAACTAATCTACAGCTAATCTGCTGAGTTTCTGGAGAAGATTGCTCATTAAAAACTGTAGCTGGAAAGTTTACTGCTGCTGTAGCCATTCCTGTGGGGGCTTTGCCTGTAATGAGGTGCCTGTGGTTGTTTCCTGGAGGGAGAATGCAGTAGTGTGAGCTCTTTCATCATTGTAAAGTTATGAGCTTATTAGAAATCCTAAGAAATTGGAGGTGGTCAGAAGTGTTGGAAACCATTCTGACAATGATTTGGACATCAAAGTTCATAACTGCAGATTGAATTCTTTGCCTTACAGAGCTACAGGGAGAATGCAGCTGGTCCATGAGCTCCCTGTGGCAGCCCTCACACACAGAGATAAGACCTTGATGGAGAGGCTTGTCCTCTGCTTGGTCCAGTTGTTTAGTGGCTAAAAAACTGAGTTAAATACAGGTTTGTTAGCAACTCTAGTTAATCCTCTGCAAGWTGCTTGTGACCTGATTTACTTTCAGAAAAACCCCCATAATTTCTCCTCTTTTCACTGGGAATTGTGACAGTGAAATTGGGCTAGTCTGTGCCTATRAACACGTCTATGTGCCTAAGTCTTCCCCCCACCTCTGCTGCAGCATTCTTGTCTGCTGTTGGTCAGAACTTCCTCCCCAGATCRCTGTCATCCCATGAGGCATCTGGGAGCAGGGAAACAAAACATGGCATCTCTGTGGGAAAGCATCTGTTCCCCAAAGGTTCCTYGCAGGGACCATRGTCCTGGCCGGAAGAGCAATCYGGGGTTTTCAGCTGTTWGGGAGCAAGGAGMTGCCTAAGATGTGGGTAATGYGKGTAATAGAGCAGATGTATAAAATGACATGATTCTTCGTGGTTTTGCAGCTGTTTGCCACACTATGCATAGCAGCTGTTAAGCTGACAGTTGTGCCAAGTCTASTGTCCTGCCTCAACAAAGTTCTGAGCAGGAGCAGAGATACAGTGCTGCCTCAGTGAGTCAGCTCCTTGTCTGTACTTGCCTTTCCATTTGCTTCATACTGGGGATTGTGGGATTTTTCATGAGAAAGATAATATATTTATTCAGTTATGGAGAAAGCAATCAGGCCTCCAAGCTTGGATGAAGAAAAATCCCCACTGTTGTTGGTAATGGCCTTATTAAATCTTCTCTGAGTAACTGAAAATCATTGCTGCCCAGCAGCTGACTTCTTTAAAATAGCTTTTTATTTTTTTAAGTTGTCAGACAGCATCTCTGTGGACACATGTACATAACGCTTCTGTGCTGCTGGATGATCTCAGCAGAGTGGTTGCTGATTGTATAGTCAAAGGAACTGACCCACTATTTATAGGGCTGCTTCTCCATGTAATCCACTAAACAGGCAGCGTTTAGTGGRAAAAGTCAGGTTGCTGCTGAGCCTTTTCTGTACTTCTTCAGTGTTGCCAACTCTTCGCTCTTATTTTTTTCCTCCTCTCTCAATTTTCCTAACCTTAAAAAATGGAGCAGTTGGCCACTGATGACTTCAGGAACTAGCAGAGTGAAAATATGCAAAAATAGTCTGCAATGCCTTTTTGGGAAATGGGATATTTTCATTAACTATTATATATTTTAATTTAGCAACAGCAGCTTTAACTAAACACTGCCTGATTACTGAAGATGTCATTTATCTAGCTATAAGTTGCTCTCTGAAATGGACAGTTGAAGAATCGTGACGTGTTGTAAGAGTGACCTGGCATAAAACAGGACATGCTTTTCCCATTAACTGTGCAATGGGCCAGATTGAGTGCTCATGAAGATAAGCAATAAATATCCAAAATATCTCAAAACTCCTCTCCCTTTGCAGAATTCTGTGCAGTCGGCTGTGTGGTTTCAGCACTCTTAGGTCTGTTTCTCTCGCAGGCACAGGCTGTTGTTAAAGGCTGACAGYTGTATTSTGTAGCTCTGTTKTYRGGGAGTGGCTGAGTCCTGTCAAATRCAGGACTGGCTGCAGTGTAAGCATTCTCATTTTTTGAGTGTTGGGGAATAGGACTGGCTGCCTGGCTGCCTTGTTTGGTCAGTATAAACTWTTCCCTTTACTGGAATAGCTGCCTGTTGATCATTTAAGGGAGTGGAAACCTGGAATGAAGTATCAGTTGGTGTGCTAGTTTGAGAAACCAGTGGGGTAATTACCCCTACACAGATACATTGTGAGAGAATCTAAGTCAGAACTACAATTTAATAGGAAAAATTAAAACAAAGGCAATAATACAGAAACAACATCTTAAACTGACAGACTACAACCTGACACCCTGTTGTGCAGTGTGATGGCTGCAGTCCTGCTGGAGTGATGGATGTGGTCCTGTAGAAGCAGTGATCCTGAAGACAGGTCAAGTCCATCTSTGGAGGTCCAGAGGTGCTCCTCGAGCTCCTCTCCTCTGGGAATCCAGTGGAACGAGTGTCCTAGTGTTCCAGAGCCTCAGYTTATAWGCTAGTRGGGATGTCCAGTKCCTCCTCTCTGGGCAGAGCATCTGAMAGTSGTATGATGTAATTCCATGAGTCATTCCCAGAGCCCTTGATGGCCCATTAGCAGAGATGGCCCCCCGAGGRTGTCATCAGGGCTGAGTCATGCTGAGGTTTTAACAGTTTATGGAGACAGTAATAGAATACATTCTGGTTTGTTTACACCTACCATGTAACCTAAGACAGTTGGTAATTCCTCTCCTTTCAAAAAAATGCAGCAAACTGTAGCATATTCTTTAAGAGAGAGAAGTTTCACCTCTGGCATACTCCCTGTTTTGGATTGTGTGCTTGAACTTTCCTTGGTGCCAGTGCTTCTGGAGTGTACTTTGGAGCACACTRCAAAGGCAGGCATGAGAGCTGTGCTTGACAGAGAGGTGCAACTTCCCTTCCTCCTTWACTGGAAACTCCTATAAACTGACATCTTCCAGAATACAGTAGAAAACTCTTATTTTTAGGGAAATAAGTTTTCAGTGTATGCCAGTATATGGGATAGAGAGAACGAGAGATGAGTGGATCAGTCTCTGTCAATATTAACTGGGTCCCTGGAAGGATATTGCAGTATTTCCCCCCCACACACACCTTCCAACTCATATCAGTGGTTTAATTTTTAGGTAAGGAATATCCTCAATCCCTTCTAGGCATAGTGGATAACAGGAAGATGGTTCATCTGATAAATCTTGACTTTYAGTGAAACTTTACATTGTCAGAAGTATGATCATCTGAGAAGCAAACCAGAGAAATACAGGCTAGCTCATAGGGTTTGTATGAACAAGATTTTGCTTATAGAAGACACAGAAGCTATTTGTTCCCCTTTGTGCTGGTCAGGTTTAGTTACAATTATTATGTTTGTCTGCAGACACCATGCTTCAAGAGCTTAAAAAGAGGGAAGCGGGAGGCAGGGTGGAAATAACTCAGAAACTGTGAACAGTATAAAATTTTCAGAGAACCTGACATTTTAGGTGAGCTTGAAGGACATAGACTTCTTTCTTAAAATATCACCCGTTTGATTTCATTAGATGAGATGGATGTTTTGGACGCTGTTTGGAGCTTAATACAAAGAGAGAAAACATAGAAGTTTGAGTTACAGTAAAAGAAAAGATACACTATCGGGGCTGAAGCACTGTTGTAATTTAGCAATGTTTTAACTTCAACTAGTGCATTTAAAGGTAACAAGGTGGGATTTTTGGTGTTTTTCATAATATAAACCGGGGGTGGCTGCCTTTTAAAATAATAATCCTATATGTGGATACTGTGTGTGTTGTCACTAYGATGGAATTTAAGTCTGTTGATCTGTGATAAATTAGAGGGGAAAGTGGCATAATTTATAGTCAAATAAGGCACTTATTTCTGGTGGTTCCTTCATCTGCCCTGCTCCTTCCCTGTGCTGTAATGCCATTGTTATCTATGCAGCTCTGTATCAGCCTGGATCAAGAAATGAATTAGACTGAAAAGTAAAATAGCTTTCCTGTGCCTTCTTATGTTGYATCTGGTGTGCACTGAGGCTTTTACTGTCATGTGTTTTCCCATGGAAACCTCAGCCAGCTTGCCACAGTTAGGTAAAAACAGAGCATTAAGCTTTAGAAATGAGAAAGTGAATTCTGAAAAAAACATTCCTTCCACAACTCTTGCAAATCTGTTTTGTAAAACATGTGGTGTCTGTGCTCACAGGCACTGGGCTTAGATGTCTGCATCTGAAAAAGGATTATGCAGTGAAAACATGTGTATGCTGACATCTGGCTGTTAGCTAAGTGTGCTGAAGTAAAAGCTAAACAAAACAGGGTATGTTTCCTTATGCTAATTCTAACRTGAGAAAGAAATAACATCCTCTTTTAGGGAGGTTCTAAACGGTTTGCAAGACAAAACCAAAGTGAAATATTTCTTTTGTTTAAATCCAAGCACATTACTGGAATTCTGTCTGACAGGCTGTGTTCCATTTAAAGATAAATACATGGAAAATGACTGCTTTTAACAGGGCCTGTACAAATGRCTGCTAGGTGTATTGCTGGGGAGCTAATGCTGAACTGTGGCAGGTTGCAGTTCATGCTTTATCATGATTCATCTGTGCAGCAGCTCAATTTCACCTTGCYAGAGAGATATCAATAAAGGTCCATGCATATCAGGTAGTAAATCCTAATGTGAGAGTAGCCTGCTTGGGCAAGAATTCCTTCTTTGACCAGGATCAGGAGTGTCCATTTGCTGACTATTTCAACCTACAGAAAATGCCAAGCATGTGGTTGACATGAGTGATGCTGTGTCCATGCAGCACACTCTGATGAAAGGGTGCTCTAAGTTGTTTTCTGCTTTTGGARCTCTGTAGTAACAAGTTCTTGATTTTCACTTTAGCTTTCCAGTGTGTTGAGGCTTTGGGTTCACCCAAGAGGTGAACAGTCTTCTACAGCTGTTTTCTTTCTCTCTTCACCAGCACCCTTGAGGGGTACTACGTTGATGATGCCCTGCAAGGCCAGGGAATCTACACCTATGAGGATGGAGTGGTCCTTCATGGCACCTACGTGGATGGAGAGCTGAATGGCCCAGCCCAGGAGTATGACAGTGATGGCCGGCTGATATTCAAAGGGCAATATAAAGACAACATCCGCCACGGAGTGTGTTGGATTTATTACCCGGTAAACCTCATCACCTGCTCTCCTTGTTGTGGAATTATGTACCTTTCTTTTCTTCCCCAGCTGAAATAAATATGTATCATGATCCAGCTCTCCAAAAATCAGGACACAAAGATCTGGGTAAAAGATCTGTGTGGGTAATCCAACACAAAGTTAGAAATTTTTGGTGTTGAATGTTTGCCTAGTAAATAAGATTCAGTGAGGCTGCAAGGTGCCCACACCATTTTCATCTTCCAGGAAACTCAGCCCCTTGGAAGTGCATTTATATATGATTTGTATGTAAGATAGAAATAGTGTGTCTGATAATTTATGCATTATCTCTTCAGGAATGCTGGACTAATAATTTTGCCATTTTGTAGTGTTAGCTGCAGGTGAGGAGCATGGAAGCCATGCAAGTTAYTGCAACCTGCTGCTCTTATTAGAGTAGGAGGAGAGATTGTTGTTTTTGCAGGATATATTGTGAAGTCTGGATTTGCCCAGCACATCAGATGTAACTGGTGTGAGAGCTGTGCCTCGGAGTGGAATTGTGGGCAAGTGATTTTCTAATTGAGCAAGCCAGTGTTTTATCTTTTGAATTTTGTTGTTCTTTTACAACCATACTAGTTAAGGTAATGACTGTTGTACTAGTTTTTATGGAGTTTTTGATGCAATTTTTTTTTAAAATACAGTTCCTATTCAGCCTTACACAGGGGAGTTGAATCTTTCAATCTTACCTTGTTCCAAGAAGAGGGTAACATCTGCATATAATTAAGCTGCTGGTCAAAACCCAGTCTAATTCTGTGCTACATATGGCACAAACTTTAGTTGCAGATTCATTTCTAAATGCTTGCCACCACTGGCTGTTCCTTTTATTTACTGGTTTTCACTGTTGCCATTAAGCATRTGTTAGGATCAACAAATGCATGGTATGCTGCCAAAAGTTTTTTAGTCCCTAGTGTACAAAATAACACAGCTGACCTTTCACTTCATGTATCTCCTGCTTCATCATCTAGTTGACAAAGTTTTGCTGTCCCTTTTGGATAACTAGAGGTTGTTTATCATTATAATCTTGCCAGACAAAAGGTTCAAGGTGTTCTAAAATAACCCTTTGCCAAGGAACCAATTGTTTCCTTATGGTGCTGTGCAGGATTCTATGTGCACCACTTTTTTCCCAGACTTAAGGTTCACTGTTCCCTATTAGAGCACGCTTGAAATTCTTTCATTCTTGCAGTTGAATAAAATGGTGTCACTTTGAAATAGAGCCTGTGCACAGTGGTCTYGATATAAATCAGTCTGTTTCTAAATCACACCTGCTGGTTTTGCTCCAGGGTGTTATTTGGAGATGCGTCCTTGTCTCTTTTGAAATAAATACCTGAAGTGGTTAGACCTATGYTAATGTATGCATCTCATTCTGCAGTTCTGGAAATAGACCTAAATTGAGCTGCGGGCAAATCACAGATGGCAAAGCCCAGGGCTGAAATATGTAAACCTTGGAGAGGAAAAGTGTTGCTTTTGAAGCTTTGSCACAGACAGTTGTTCTCATTGAGCAGCACCTGACATTGGGGGCATTCTAGGACAGAGAAACTCTCCACTCTCCATTTTTCTTTAATAGGTTCAAGTCTTTAGAGGTACCTTGAATTAGCAGTGAGCAAGGCAGCRTTAAATTTTTTTTCCMTCCAGTAYAGTATCATAGTAATCAAACTTAGAYAAACTTTAGTCCTTGCTTTGMAGACTRTGCACATAAAAATTTCASCACGTGAAATTGAATATTTRTGTCACATAGAAGGAAAGATCCTGGGTCAGTTTTCTCCTAACTGGAATTACTTCATCCAGCTTCTTCATGTGTCTGTTTCTCCCTCATTTTCATAATTTCACATCTGCACTTTCTGTTGGATTTATAAAAAGTTGGGGAAGACCTTTTTAATTTACTGAGGATGTTGCCTAGAAAATAGAATAGATTGTCTCAACAATGTTAGAGTGAATATAAAAGCAAACCTTTACTTGAAAGCTTTCGGTACACAATATGGCAAAAATTGYACGTGATACAAGTAATTCCACAGTTTTTATAAGGTTAGTAGTTGATTGGCATACCTATCATATGTTGTCCAATTGAAACGTTGGTTAGGTAATAGTTCCCAGGGTTCTGCCCACTGGAAGCAGTCCAGAGCTTCTGCCCCACTTCAGTTATGTCTGGTYCRGATTCTGGTTGGAAAACAGAGCAAGTTAGTTGTCTTCTTGGAATAAGACTAAATATTTTAGGAATGTATTTAGAAAGTTAGCATATTGTTCCTAAATATAGGGGAAAAGGGATAGGAAAAGTACAAGAAGCTACAGCCATGCATTTGCAATCTACAAAACTAGAAATACATGAAATACATAAAAAGCGAAAAATCTTAGGCATCAAGGATAGTAAAGTATAACTGAATGCTTTGCCTTTTCTTTCTCACCTGTGCTCTCAGGATGGAGGCAGCCTTGTGGGAGAAGTGAATGAAGAAGGGGAGATGACTGGAGAGAAGATAGCCTATGTGTATCCTGATGGAAAGACTGCATATTCTGGAAGGTTCATAGATGGAGAAATGATAGAAGCAAAACTTGCAATTCTGACAGCTGTTGAGGATGGGAAACCTCAATTTGAAGTAGTACCAGGCAGTAAGTTCAGCTAACACAAACCTGTATTCCTGCTACCAGCCCTTTGCTGCAGAGGGCTTGGTTCCTGTGATGTTCCCCACTGGAGACTGGCTGTAATGACACAAGCTGTTAGTGAGGGGCTCTTTTTCCAACTCACAAAGTTGGGCAGAGGCAGGTAGCATGATCCCTTTGCCCTGGGAACAGATGGGAAGTGCCCCCTGCATGGTCCTGCCCAACTGCATTTCATAGCCCTCTCTCACTCCTGTGCTCATGGGCACAGTCCTGCCTGTCACACACCTTCTGTGCCAGCTGGAAAGCCTGTGCCATGCACCCTGTTAATGATGGCACAGCTACAGGCATTCTGTTAGTGAAATAAATGCAAGAGGAGAGGGAGGTCCTGAGTTGGTTGTAGCTCTGTCAGCTGGGTTTTCACAAGTCAGCATTAGTACTGTGAATGTTCTGGCACCGGTGTTGCTGGGCCGAGATTGGAATTCGTGAACCAGATTCAGTCACTGGGAAGCCAGCACTCCTCAGTGACACCCCTGCTGACAGAAAGTGGCTGGGAAGTGTGTGGGGGCAGGGTGGTGCCTTCTCCAGTGGCTTGAACCTATAGTTCTGGAGTGAATTTGTTGTTCTGAGGTGTATGTGATGTTTTGGARGAGTGTGGATTAAGCTGCAGTAACAAGCAGGGACTATGCTAATGCGTTTATTGGTCTGCCATCAAAAATTGTCTCACTTGATATGAAATAGTCACATAGAGCTCAGTGAAAAGGTATTGACAAGCAAATGCATGTGAGWTTATTTTTTGAATTGCTTAGTTATGATAGCAAGTCAAAATTTAACTTAAAACTTACTTTCTAAGAGAGTATAGTTGTGCTTTGTAAAAAGGATGAAGTTACACTCTGCCTTCAGCCTGAACAGATTCTGGACACCAGGGGCAAAGGCCTTTTATCAAACTTTGTATTATTCTGTTTTGTGGGTTTTTTCCCCCAACTTGTTTCCACCTTCTTCTTAACCTATCTCCAAGATAGTCCTCTGGCATTTGGGAGAGGGATTTAAGAATGTGACAGATCTGTACCACTGAGTTGCTTATTAATGGCAAGAAATAAATGACTGTAGCAARGATGCATTCTGATTACTGAATGTTCTTCTGGTTGAGATCTCTTCAGGATTTAGACTAGAAAATGCTTCATATTTGAAGTAATCAAGTTGTTTTTAGTTAATGGGCTAYTGAATACATCCTTTTGAATTTTGCTTTACTTTTTAATTATATTCAGAGACASTGAGAGGGTCAGTTTTGAAAGACTATCCGGTCCTCTACAAGCTGGTAATTTGAAGAACACATGTATCACCTTTTTGTGTTAGCACTGTTACTCTAGAATGTTGAGGGGAAAAAATAATCAAGAAGCAGTATCTAATTTAAGGCTTTTTACAGGTGCAATTCTCTTTATGGAAGTATAACATTTATTTTTTGCAGCCATTAAAATTTAATTTTTGACTGTCTTGATTAAGTTAAATATTGCATGCTCTCAGTACTGCCAATTAGTTTATTACCTTCATTGATTTTGGATTTTTTTAGGCCCAGTATACAGTTTTGACAAATCTACTTCATCCTGCATTTCTACAAATGCCCTTCTTCCTGATCCTTATGAGTCAGAGAGGTAGGCTTTTTTTCCTTCTACCTATATTTCTTTACTGTTACACATTTAGGGCTTAATTTTGCAAATCTTTTCTCATCTAAAACTTAAAAATAAAAGATGTGTAAGGGTTTGTAAAACTGAAGCCTTGCTCTGTGTGTACTTCAACTGTAGGCCCTTTCTGATACTCTGAAATGTCTAAATAAGTGATTAGTAAAACACTTGCTTTAATTTACATTGCRTACTTGAAGATGTGGCACTTCATCTTGAGAACTTTTGCTCCTCTGTGCATGTGCATTCCAGCAACCCCAGCTTGGTGGGGGTCTTTTGGGGTTCTGGTATGTTATTGAGGGTGTTCCTGAATTGGAGCCATCATTATGGAGTAATAGTAGATTGGCACTTTAAGAAAAATTTAAATTTTCCAAGTCAGCTTGAGATTCCCACCAAATCTCAGTTTTGACAGAAATAGAGACAACATATGGAAGAGAGAAAGGGAAGGGGTTCCCTATAGAGATTTCAAATTATTGTTGTTATTATTGTTGTTGTTATTGTTAGCCTTATTATTAGCTTTATTGTTATATTGAAGTATTAGGCTTTATCCCAATAGTGTTGTGATAATACATCTTGAAAATTAAAACTGCAGCCAGTCACTAATTCCATGCCCTGTTTCTCTTGTAGGGTGTATGTGGATGTCTCTCTCATTTCCAGTGCTGGAGAAGGATTGTTTTCAAAARTAGCAGCAGAAGCCAGTACAGTGATGTCCTTCTACAACGGAGTGCGAATTACACACCAGGAGGTAAAGAAGAGGAAAAAGTCAGTCTGAATTTTCATTGCTCCTGAAATTTCCTTTCATAGTAGGATCTTACACCCACCACCTTTCCACCCTTGATTTAATATGATGGAGTCAATTGAAAGAAAGTGCATGCTCACCTATGTATAGATTTAAAAAAATGTGGGTTTTTTTTTTTTTCAATTACTTACACCCAAGAAAAGCTTTTATTTACATGTATTTCAAATCTTGGCTTTCAAACTTCTGACAAAGTTGACCCCTTCACACAGACACTGGATTTTTGCCTTKCAAACTAGGTAGACAGCAGAGACTGGGCCCTCAATGGAAATACAATATCCCTGGATGATGAAACAGTCATAGACGTGCCAGAGCCCTACAACCATGCTGCCAAGTATTGTGCCTCGCTGGGGCATAAGGCCAACCATTCCTTCACTCCTAACTGCACCTATGACCCGTAAGTACAGCTGTGTGTTTTGGGGTAGAAGCTGGAGCCTGGCTGTCTGAGCACACAGGGGGTCCCTGGCAACTGGATGAGGAGCAGTAGTGGGCTGGGAGTGAAGAGCTGAGGCACTGAAGGAGTTTCTGCTCACCTAGGCTGAGCTGGAAATGGGCTGGCATGGTGGGTGCTTGATTGTCTGTTGGGACTTACAACATCGATTGTCTTGAAGTTTGCAACTTGTCAGTTTTGTCATGAACTTTATGAGTTGCTTCTTGATTCTAAAAYGCATAATCACAGCTTTCTAAAGCCTAGCTTGGCTAGAACTGCACTGTGTTTGCTGAACTACCAATGCTTTGATAAATCAGCATTTTTGCTCTTATTGTTAAGTCTTTATGAGGTTGATTTAAAGAAGTCCGTTAATTTGATTTCAGATTATGCAATATTGCTCTGAAGTGAGTGAATTCTGAAAACTGTTAGGGGGGCTGGCACAGTCTGTGAATTGACAACCAAGCCTAGCAAAGGTATTTTCTTCCTAGATTTGTTCATCCTCGTTTTGGGCCCATCAAGTGTATCCGTACCATCAGAGCTGTGGAGAAGGATGAGGAATTGACAGTGGCTTACGGGTACGATCACAACCCTGTGGGGCAGAACGGACCAGAAGCACCAGAGTGGTACCAGCTGGAACTGAAAGCTTTCCAGGCTGCCCAGCAAAAATGACATGGGAGCGCCTTCTGCATTCAGCAAACTGAAACAGAAACTTGGATCTATGCACTACCTTTATACTGAAAACTGGACAACCAGGGATTGTTCATGCTGTTGCATCATAACTTTGCATTCTGTGTTAAGAGATAAGTTTCTTGCATACTAACTAGGTTTGACTGTGTTACTCATAGCAGATTTAAAAATTAGCTAACGTTGCACCAGTCTTATCTGGAGAAATTATTTAATATTCTATACAAGATGTGATATTCTTTGATAGCTTCTGCTTTTGCACTATATGCAAAGAGGCCAAAAGACTAGAAAGAAACTAAAATGGGTATATCGTTCACTTTTCGTCAGCAGACTTAGTGTTGCTCTCTATCTGCCTAGGCATTAATGTGCAACTGCATTTTGCATATATGCCACTTGTGATGGTAACAGTAATATTTTGATATTCTCTAATAGTAGCATAATTTTGCCTTTTTAAACCTTTGATCTGAATCTTGCAATAGAGCAGTTTATTTATTAGCATATAGGAGGCTGGGTTTTAACTCCCCTTTCCTCTTGTCTGAACATTGTTCTTTCTACAAATCCTCTTTTGCAGGAGAAAATCCTTTCTTACTAGTGGAAAGGCTTGTGTGTGTGTGTGAGAGTGCTGTGTGTTGGTCTCTGTGGCTCTCTAAATAGTATAGCAACATGTCCAAACCTAATATTTATCTAGCCTTTAYGGCTGACTTATTTAATTTATTATTATGACATGCAAATGAAGCTGTTCTTTGCATGAAGATTTTCTGAAAAGGAGAAAGTAGATTTGCTTTTTGAAGGACTTTCAGAAGTACATGTTCTGGAAGGCAAGTACATTACTTGCATCAGTGTTCATGAGTTGRTTTGTGTATTTCACCTGTTCAAGCAGTTCTCAAGGCAGAAATGCTTGAATCTCCCATGGATTCTCTGAAAGGAGGTGCATATATTTGGGGGCAGGCTGTAGTGTTTGGTGAAAGAGAGCTGTTACTTTTTCTATGTGTTCGCTTGACAAAACAATATAGCCTTATAGCCATCTTTTAGTAGTCTTGGTTTAAGACWCAATGAATTAGTATAGTATGAAGTATCAAAATAAGACTTTTTTTAAAAGAAAAGATATTAAAAGATTGTTTTTGAAAGACAAATAATGAATGTACAAACATCACTCGATGCTTATATTTAGAAACAGCAGTTTTGTTGCAGCCAGCAGTGAGGGTTTGTGAATATTCAGCTGCAGGGCTATGTTCTGGGGTTTTCAGGGGTAGGGAAATTGTGCAGTTTTTCAGATACTGTACTGGTCTTGACTAATGCTGTATAAGAGAGAAATAATATATTGTCTTGGTCTGGATACTGGAACCTTTCTGGGACTYTGATGCTCTCTTTTGGGTTTAGCAGCTTAGGAAAAACTCAAATGCATTTGCAACACTTTCTTTAAATGTTTGTAGTTTTAAAAGGTTTGTATATATGTAACATAAATTATTTGGGAATCGGACCTACCTATCTATTGCAACACATTTTGGTCGCTTGCCTGAACTGTTGGAGGTGTGTGGCTGTTTGGGGAGCTGGGCAGAGAGAATGTGTTAGGTACCTGCAGGTGGAAGGATGAAGTTGCTGTTGTGTGCAGTCTGAGAATCCTTTCTTTGGTACCTGAGCATAAGAACCTGGGGCTCTGTTGAGTCCCTGTGGCTGCTCACAAACTTYTTCCAGCACCTCACCATTTCAGCCTCTCAGAAGCTACTCAATGCACATGCTGGGATGGGGAACAGGCAGACTCAGGGCACTGTGGCACTTTCAGCAGTGATCTGCTCGTGAGCTGTRACGCCTCCCATCTCCTCATGCTGGACACTCGGGTTGCAGCTCCATGTCTTGTCCAAGGCAGAGGTGACAGCTCAGGGATTCACGTGAATGGGCTGAGACTAAACAACCTCACAGGTGAGGGAGAGTTGGCAAAGGTCAGTCAACAGCTCAGCTTCAGCAAATGATACTCAAAAAGAAATATGCATGACATGATCTTTCCTTATATCCCCCCAGGTTGGTACTTTAGGTCATCAGCCCCTTGCAGGAAAGCCTCTGGTAGGGAGCCCTCTTGTATCTTGGGGATTATTCTGCCAGGACCATGAAGTTTGCAAAGTTGAGGCTTGAATTTAAGTGCAGGGAAGRGAAGAAGGAAGATGTGATTGAATCCTACTGGAAATGGCCTCCTTCCAAAATCTTGATAACCTGCTTTGGACTGCTGGCCTCTCTGTGCTTGCTGGGGAATTGTCCTTAAAATGTTCTGATCTGTAGAGCACCTTTGCCTTCATTCCTGATCAGTCCCTGATTCCTCTGCTATCTCCTCTTYGTGTGAAGTTGCTTATGTTTTAATAGATTGGTCAGTCTTCATATTGCCTGATTTTGAGATAAATAGAAYATAGGTGCTCTTGGTGCATCAGGCTTGAAGATTGTAACCTGGAAAATAGGGAAATTCTAGGGGAAAAAAAAAAAAAGGCACTGAAGTATCCTGTGTCTTCTTGAAAAATTTGATGACAGTCAAGCAGATTCTTTTGCACATGTGTGTAGCCTGGTTGCATGCCACAGCTGTGGCTCTTGTCTCTGTTAGCTCTCCTGTCCTCAGCTTTGTAAAATTTGTTGGTCCTTTTAAAGCTCCCTTCTTCAGTGACCAACCTTCTATAAAAGTTGCAATTATGAAGCTGCTTTGGCTTGATTCAGGACCAAGCCTTTAAACTCTTGTTTTCTCTTTCTTGCTGGTCTCTTAGAGTGGAGATGGCTGGGATGGCTTTTGCCACTGGGTGGTGAAAGGGGTCAGTGTGTCTTTCAGAAGTGTGCATTGGCAGCCCCTCATTCAAACACAGGTTAGTTACAGAGCTCCAAATAATGCCTTAATTTGGTCAGTGTGTTGCAGCTCAGTTTCTGGGGCTCACTAGGGAACAAGACCAGCTTCACAAAGCTCCTCATTGGTAGTGTGATGACATATTCACACATGAGACTCCCACCCAACCACATTTTTCATTTGGGGCAGAGGAAGCATCACCTGGCACAGCAATCTGCTCAGATCTGTGGTTACAGCTGACTACTGGTGAATATGCAGTAAGTGAAGAAGCTCCACTTATCGTGACCTGGCCAAAGACCTTTCTTGTCAGCCCAGAAACTGAGAGGAGAGCTGATGCCTGTCAGCTGAGCCTGGGTGAGCAGCTGGCTCTCAGGATACCTAGTGTGACTAAAGAATATCATAGAACCACCTACAATTGCTGCTTTTTTCAGGTACAGATCAGTTCCCAACATCTGCCTTTTRGTCTGCAGTACTGCATGTAGCTCCTGTGTTTGGGAGGGTCACTTGACCTCCTTTATGAGAGGCCTGTATTTCCCTGTCTTAGAGGCTGCTGATTGTCTGTAAAAAAAATAATTCTGAAGTGGATCTTCCTGCAATGGCAGCACAGGRTTTTGTCACCAAGAATACAGAAGCCTTTTTTTCTGAAGAAGTGGCTAATCTTGAGARCCTGAAAAGTTGCAGCTGAGAGCTGCCTGCTGCTGGGGTCACTCCTCTGCATAAAAARCAAAAAGAAAAGGGCTTAGGCTGTGGTGGAGGTGTCTGAAGTTTAGTCTTATGCTATAATTTTACTTCTGGGGATCTACCTGGTTTTCTTTCATAAATCTGAAAATCTGCTTTTTTTTCTTTTTTTTTAAAGTAATTACAAAAAACCTACACAAATACCTGTAAATCTTGATTGTTGAAAAAGTTAAAGGAAATACGTGGAATTGGCTTTCCAGCAGTGAGAGCTGTGAGTGCTTTTGACCATTCCTTGTCGCAATACTTGATAGGATGGCCCGTGCTTTTAATCAGGTACAGCTCCTGGGCAGATTTTGGGAGCTTTGGGAGGCCGTGGGGTGAGGTTGCATGTTTTGGGAGCAGCTAGGCAGGCTTCTCCTTKGCACAGCCTTTCCAGATGCAGAAACATTGCACACAGATGGCAGTGGGTTCTTGTAGTATGTTGCTGGTGTGGAAGCAAGAGCACCATTGTGTATTTCTCACCTTCTGCCAGGCACTGGAGGAGCAGAGTAGCCAATATCCCATCTGGTAAGAGAAACTGAGAAATTAYGAAAAWTKCCACATTTTTGTTTCCTTCCCAACTGTCTGCCCTTGTCCTGCAGTCAAACCAGTGCTCACTACTTGGGTTGTGCCAGGGGTGCAGCAGTGTTGCTTCTGTCCAGAGACTTTTGTGATTTGTGTCCTTTCACTCAATTTGATGCTCTTTAGGAAAATGCTGCAGTTGCAATGAGGTGGTATTAGAGCCAGGTGTCTGCTGCTTTCTTCTCCTGTGTCCCAGCAGAATGGCTGGAGCTGTGGGTGCCTGAGGACCTCCCATCACTTACTAAACCAAATTKCTTTGAAAACTATGTTACTGAAGTGTCTCCTTACATGCTGGGGTGCTGCATATAGGCCTGTCCTCACTTCCATTGCACTGTCCTGTGCTGAGAGCATCCGAGTGAAGAAAGCGTGAGAGCAGCTTCACCTGTGGGTGGAAAATGGGCTTCACTTGCAGTGAACTTGTTCCTTTTGCTTCATGTGCTGGAAACATGAGAACTATATTTTTGGACAAAGAATTTCTAAGCAGTCTTATAAGGATTTTTATTTTTAAAGAAATGGAAAGGTGCAAGATTGAGTGCATGTTTACTTGCCCCAGATCAAAGGTTTTGAACACTAAGGTCACTCTCCCTTGAATGGACTCTCCTCTGTCTTTGGGCAATGGAACCTCCTGCCCTTTTTCTCTTTACCAGTTTACTGTAACTGTATTTTTTCCCCTAGGAGAAATATCTATACAAAAATTATAAGCAATTAAACACTCAAGCCATAAAACCATRAGTGTGGGAAGACCCTCTTCACAAGTTTTAGTATTTGTATGTAAAATGATATTTGTATGAAATATTTTCATGGTAGAATGAATATTTAAACAACAAAGTTCCAGTAAGATCTAAACCAGATTTGAAAGGATGTCTTTTTGTAAGATTCAGGTRTAATTGAATACCAGTAAGCAGATAGGCTTTGGTTTTATTTTTTTTTTTTTAAGGGGAGATGCAGCAAATGGTCCTTACAATTGCACGTGATCGTTTCTGCTATTTGGGGAAGTATTTATGCAGCATTATGTGCAGCTGCCATAAATAATTGCAATAGCAAGGCTAGCCACATCTTCAAGACATACCTCTCAGCTTGTCCCTTCATGATGCTGTACAAACAACCTATCCCTCCTTTCTGCAGATGCCCTCCTAGAAAGCGTTTCCTACTGTAACAAATTTAACTCTGAGCTGAGATCCACACTAAAGTTGTGTATTAACAGTTTCTGCTGGGCCTTCTGCTATTTTAATACTCTTTAGCCCATAATTACTGGGTGTCTCTGTTCTGAAGAACTAAGTGCTAAAGAATAATCTTTGGGGTAAGCTTATACATGTGTTAACAGTTAACCCCAGAGTATTTAACTTGTATACAGTACTTGATAGGTGTTTTATGACATTTGTATTCGAACTATGAGCCTTACTGAACATCTGTAGGTTTATTCATTACTTTTCAAAAACTGATAACTCTAAGAAAGATGTTTACATGAATGATGATTGCCCTTCCCTTGATGTTATGAATGAGGTTTTTATAGTGTGTTTGGGTGTATGTGCAAGGAAGCAAGAAAAGTGTTTCTGGGGAAAAACAGACTTGACAAACATTTGTAATAAGTGAATTTTAAAGATTGCTTTAATTGCGCTATGAAGGCAATGCAAATATTAAAATATTCTACGGAAAACTCCCGTCTCTCCTTGTTATTTGTCACTGTTTGGGACATCCTCTGATCTCTCCCCTTTACTTGTGTCCTGTGTGACCACAGATTTTTGCTCCACAGGAGCAGGATTTCACACAGTTAGCACACATCTAGGCCACCTTATGTAAATAGTGAGTGAACACCTGACACCATTTGTTTTTTTCTGGCATTTCTGCTGCTTTTCTTACTCCTCTTTTTCAGTGCATGTAATATGGACTTCAGTTGTGTTGTGGTATGGAAGAACATCCTGCCCAAAGTGTCTTTAATTATTTTCCTCTGAGMCAGTGGGAAGGTGCAGCAGGGGTGCCTTCCAGGCAGGTAACCTGTTCCTCTGTCTCTAATTCCATGTACATACCCTGCTGGGTGAATGATGAGGAAGGGGCAGTACTTCGGGTGCCTGCCCTGCCTTCCCCTCCTTTGTGCTCACAATTGCTGAGGTAACTGATCCTCTCCTGCCTGTGCTGCATGTAGGTGTGCAAAGACTGTCCCCTCTGCAAGGACACAGAAGGGGCCTTGCTTGGCTGTGACATTGGCCCTTGAACCTTCACAGTCCTAAAGGGCCTCAAGGATGGGTGCTTGATGTGTATTTGCAAGCTGTGTGGAAGATGACAGTGGGATTGTGGATGCTGCCAGGTGCTGGCTTCACCTATCCTGGCTGTGTTCCAGTCCTGTCCTGGTGTAATAACCCAGTACGCTGTCGAGGTGCAGTRGATTTATTTAAAGAAATTATACCTGACCTGTGAGCTGATTTCTTAAAAATGTTTCAGGCATTGGCAGGTTTTAGTGCTGTGCTTGTTAGGGTTTGACTGGAAGTTCTTGTGGGGGGGGTGGGTGTTAGAATCACAGAATCATGGAATCATCAAGGTTGGAAGAAACTTTCAAGGTCATCCAGTCCAACCATCCACGTGCCACTACCTCTGTAACCCCTAAACCACATCACCCAGTGCCAGACCCAGATGCCTCTTGGACACCTCCAGGGATCATGACTCCACTGCCTCCCTGGAAAACCTATTCCAACACCTGATCACCCCAACAGTGAAATTCTTTTCTAAAATCTAATCTGAATCTCCCSTGTCTCAGCTTAAGGCCATTTCCTCTGGTCCTCTCACTGCAGACACAGCACAGGAGAGACTGATCCCATTCACTGCAGCCTCCTTTGAGGGAGTCGTAGAGTGATGAGGCACCCTGAGCCTCCTCTTGAGACAAAACAACCCAAGGTCCCTCAGCCATTCCTTATAAAACATGGTTTCTGGTCCTTTCATGAGCCTTGTCGCCCTTCTCTGGACATGCTACARCATCTCAATATCCTKTCTGAAGTGGGGGGCCCAGAACTAAACACAGCACTTCAGGTATGGCCTCACCACTACCAAGTAAAGAGGAATGATTGTTTCTGTAGACTTGCTGGCTGCACTGTCCCAGACACAGGCCAGGATGCCCCAAGTCATTAACAAATRATGTTAGAGAGTTTCATGGAATCTTACAGCTCCAAAATGGTTTGGATTGGAAGGATCTTAAAGATCATCTAGTTCCACTCCCTCACCATGAGCAGGGACACTTTCCACGAGATTGGGTTACTCAAAGCCTCGTCCAGCCTGGCCTTGAACACTTCGGGGGATGTGGCATCCAGCAAAATCTCTGAGCAAGCTGTGCCACTCTCCCCAACTCACAGTATTGTGCACGTTTGTGGCGTGAAACAGCGCTTACGGCTGCAGGGGGAAAAAGGGAGAAAAAAAGGGGGAGAAAARCCGCAATTGCTGTGGAGAAGGCATGGGTGGAGTGCTCGGTCCTGGCAGCTCGAAGGTGTCCGGGGCGGGCCCGAGGCGGGACGGGGCGGGCAAAACAGCCGTGTCCCTGCTCTGCTCCTGGCCCTGCACAGGTGTCCGGGCCTCGCGGTTTCCTTTGGCATAGACTCGGAACTCCTTTCCCCGGACGAGGAGCAGGAACTCTCCCGGCACTGTCCGGGGAGCGCTGCCCGGGCCGGTGCCACTGCAGGTGAGGGCGCGGCGGGCCCGGCGCTTCCCGCCGGCGGGATCGGCCGGGACAAGGGACACGGGAGGAGACGGGAGGCGGCGGGACAAGGGACACGGGACACGGGAGGAGACGGGAGACGGGGCTGGAGCCGCCGCAGAGGCCGCATGGTGAGCGAGGGCCGGGGCTCGGCGCCGATTGCCCGAAGGGAGCAGCAGCCACTCCCTGGAGAGGTGCGGAGCTCTCCGAATGAGACACAACCCGGGCACCCCCTGACTCTGTGGGCAGCAGAAACCCCGAGGGGAGAAGGTCAGCGGTGGGGTCTGAGGTGATGGTCGCGTATATTCCCCTCCAGAAACATCGGGAATGGTGTCCCGGTCACTTGCACCGCAGCAGCCCCAGGGATTTCCCAAATCCCTGAGGTAATGGTCGCGTATATTCCGCTCCAGAAACGCCGGGAATGGTGTCCCGGTCACCTGCACGGCAGCAGCCCTAGGGATTTCCCAAAAGGCCGCTTGCCTTGGGTCAGTGAGGGATGAACTCTGTGCTCCTGGTACAGCCCATGCCCACGGGGTGCTTATGCTCCTAACCCTTTTCTCTCTCCTGCCTAGGAAAAGCTGTTCTCCCGACCCTGGAAGGCCCTGGCACWGTTCTCCCGTCTCTGTGTTCGGGGGTTTACGTGGGAATCGAGCAGAATGGATCGGTATCGATATTTCATCTTTAACCAGAGGATCATGGTCATACTGGGGATGTTCCAGATAGCCTTCAGCACCGTGTGCGTCGCCAGTGGGTTCATAGATGGCATTTTCAGAACAGAGTCTCAGCTGGGCAAAACCAGAGCTCCAGTTTGGGCTGGCATGGTAAATTTGTACTATATTTTCTGTGCTTTGGTTTGTGGTGGTTTTTTTCCCCACTGCTACCTACTAGTATTCATAGTGGGGGTGGGAGGGAAGTCAGGATTTCTTGACAGCTCTTCCTTTGTTTTATGCTTTGAACTCAATTAATAAAAGTTTCCTCATTGTGATATAGGCTGAAGAGTGGAAGCAGACTTCCCTCTGAAGGAACTAAATTAAATACATTTCTGCTGRATAATGTAGAAAATGGGGCATGGTGACAATTGACAGGATATTTTTTGCAGAAGCATAGTGACCACAGAGAAGCCACCAGAGATTAGGAAGGTGACACTTCATSCTCTGGTCAGGCAGATGAACATCTGGGTGGTGATATGTGTCCCACAGCACAGTGCCYCTAATTTTGGCACTGCAGTAAGAAAAGGGCAGGACGTTTCCCTGCTCCCTGGCATTCAAAACCCTGATTTACCCTGCTGAGCTGTGCTGCAGGGAAATTGTACTGAAGAGCTGTCTCCAGTGCAGAGACTGSCTGTCTGCTTTCATTAGGATCTTTCCTCTACAAGATGCGTATGGACTTGGGAAAGCAATGCACATAGCAAGTGGGCAAGATGCATGTCACCCATGTCCTGCCCCCAGGAGATGCTACAGAGAAAAATGGAAGAAATGAGCAATTCTCTTCCCATTTCTGATGTAACAGTTACTTTGATCCAAGCCTTGAAAACAGGGCTTTTCATTATTCTGTAGGAGTTTATCTTCCGAATCTGATACTGGTCTCCCAGCTGCCAACTCCTTTTGTGCTCCGCAGGTGATGGGAGTCCCAGGCATCCTGGCTTTGTTCTCCTCGCAGAAGAAGAATCCAATTCTCGTAAGCTGGAGGGGCAGATGGGTGTTTGTGTGTATGGGGCTGGGTCAAAATGCTTGGGCAGTCAAAAACAATTTGAGGAGCAAATGACCTGACTGGTCCTCCTGCAGCACTGAGAGCATATTTCTTGGAGTTATCCTTACAAAAGCTGCTGTGTTCATAAGCAAGAGGAGGATGCAGTGTTACCTTGCTTTTTGCTGCAGCAGACAGGCACTGGGCCTAATTAAAAGCAAAAATCTGTAAAAGCACTTCRTTTCAATACTTTTMTTTTGGTGGTCCTTCATGTTGTTAAGAACTGTCTACACTAAAATATGAAACAATTTAATAGGTTTGCATTTCTTAGGCAGGTTTCTCCAGCCATGTAAACTCCAAGAGGGGCTATTGTATGTAAATAAGATATCTCTGAGACAAGGTCTTTGGATAGCACCTTTAATTAATATTCAGGACTCAGCTGTAGCTCAGAAACTCAGTATTATGAAAACCTTTACTGCCTTTACTGTTTGGTTTCTAAGTGACTGTTGCTACTGGGGAGGTTGTAGTGTTATGGCAGGTCAAAGGCTACATGTAATGCTTATTWGTACATTTGCCACAGCTTTAATTCCTGCTCCTCTTCTTTTTCCCACTAAAATTTTCTGTCTAGGTGAATGTACTGCTGGTTGCCTCCATAATCTCTCTTGTTGCCATCSTCATTGTAATAATGTATAGCTCCTTCACACTGAACTATGGTGAAGAGGAGGAGCTGAGTTCTGCCCCAGTGCATGTTATCCATACTGTAAGTACTGATACCATGATTCTTACTGGGGAACATGACACCTTTAATCTGCAAACAGTACCAGGTGTGACTCACTAACAGAATCAGACTTCCAGGAAGGGTGACTCTAGGTCAGGTTGGCTGCTTTTGCTTCTGAGTGTAAAAGGGTGGAATGGGCTGAGCCATGAAAAAATACTGATGCTCCTTGGGGAAAGGTGCTGAGAATATCCTAGCCTGGTTTGAGAGAGTGACTGCAACACTCAAATCCTTCCACCAGGCATCTCAGGTGATAAAGTTACAGCAGTTACAGGTCAGCTCGTTAAACCTGTTGTTATTTATTCTGAAGCCTTATTTCACTGCTTCCTGTTTGAGGTTCACACTTGGGTTGTTTTTCAGAACACAGAAAAACCTTAAATAATACTGAATACAAATCAATCTCCTATCATGCAATCACAGCATTCTTGTAATCATTAGAATATTTTTTTGTGGAGAGTATAACTTTTCAAATATGGCTTTGATATCTCCTTTTCTGTTTGCAGAGGTTCATACTCAGTAARGTAGTCAAGGGTGCTAACATAGCCATGTTGGCTGCATCCATCTGCAGTGCCTTTTCTGTGATGGCCATGGKTTACTTGGGATGCCGGAGCCTTCCATGCTGCTCCTGCTATGACAGTGTAACTGGGATGGTGAGTAAGGAGCCCAGGGCACAAGGTTATTTCTGCTGAGTGTGGGTGAGACGGGAAGAAACTGGGGAGAAAAGTGCTTTTCTCCTATAAACCTAGACTCAGCTCTACCTCAGTCCTGCAGGGATAATTCTAAGAAATAAGTGGGATGTTAGAAAGGTTTTATACTTCTATGTTTTCCTTTTTCTATTTCCCTTATTTACAGTCTCATGTAAAATCTAACATAAGTTCCCTCTATTTCCCAAACCATTTGTGCTGAAGCTACTGTGACCCCATTTCCCATTAATTCCTTCTGTCCTCAAAATTGCTTCTCTCACCTTTAAGCCAACAATTGCTTCCAGCACAGCATTTCAAAGACTTACTGGTACTTACACACTGTAACTTCAAATTCAGTAATAAAAGTCTTTCCTGTGCTCTGTGGGAAGTGTAGGGGTGCTGACATATCTCATTTACTGATCATTCATGAGGGCTGCCTTAACTCATGGGGCACACAGTGCCTCTGCTAAGTGAGCTCAGTAAATAAATAAATACCAGCTACTTCTCTACTGGAGCAGTTTTGATGCTGTGTTATTAAACATGTACATCTGAGCATCTGGTTTGGTAAGGAATTAATGGGTGCARGCCACAAGGCAGCTGTTCCTGACTAAAGACACTTGAGTGGATAATGTGAGGCTGCTTTAAACTTTCAAACTAAAACTTATTAGGAGGAGTGGAGTGAATTCATTTAAAATTAATTCAGGTGTATCTTCTTGAACAAATTTCCAGGTGAAATATTTGATGGYGCTGTTTCTTTCATAGGAATGGTTGCAACCTARTGAGGACCAAAATCAGGCTGTGGARATGGTTTGTGCTCTACAAAGTGAGTAACTCTTTTGCCTCCATGTATCTGGATGTTCACCAGGGATGAGGAAGGAATATTCTGAATAATCTTTACATTCCAGACCAAAATCCTGATAACCAATAGGAACTCTGGATTTTATGCAAGTGTCTATACCAGGTTTAATGGTTTTCCCTTTCTTTCCTCCCACAGGCCCTGGGGGCAAAATTTTTAACTTGGCAGATCARTTTCCAGCCCAGGATGTAGATGCAGAGGAAGAGACATCCAAACCTCCACCATATATCAGAATGACTTGAAAAAGAGGCCAAACATTTTGTTCAAATGTGGCAAGAGAGATGCAATAAGTTCTTAGTCTTTAAAGATGGTTATGCACTTTTCCTTGGCCTTTTGAAAAGCACACAAAGAATGCCAGAGAACTACTGAATGCCAAACATTGAGCAGAGATCACAGGACAGAGAGAAAGATCTGCAGGTGAATTTGAGTGTTCAGACTGCATATTGAAAATACCTCATTGCCTCTGGAAAGTGAGAGCATGTTTTCCTACAGCTTTTSTACTAAAATCATGTTTTATTTTACTAAAATCCATCACACAATTTGCGTAGCAGTGATAGCCTTAGGCATTTAAATATTAAAAACAATTCCTTTTTTTTCAACTGCTGTCTTAATTTCTCCCTCTAACTGAATGAATTATTTGGATGATAATGAAGGACCCACTTCATCCTTGAGCTTCAGAGTATTTTCCTTTTCTTTTTCATAGGAATGGAGGCAGGTAAAGTTTTTTATATGAAGCCTTGATAAGGTTCTGTCAAAATGTAGCTTCTGTGGGGTGTACATGTGTCAGTACAATTAGTTTTAGTGCTGAAGTGTAATTAGAGTGTGGCAGGAACTGGAGCCACAGTAGCTGCTCTTATGAAGTAACTKAAATACTCTGAATTGAGTTCAAGTTTTCCTATTTCTACTTTGTAGACTGAAAGTTTAAARTAAATCCTTAATTTAGGGCCAATTCTGCTAAAATTTATTATGGATCTAGACAAAGGTCTTCTGTTGTATTTTCTCTAKGGGACCTCTTTGTCCTCTAGACCAAAAAACTACAGCTTCCAGTCAGCTTCTGTCATCTCCTGAMGTACACAGAATTCCCATATGTACTRTATGTTTCACTTTTAAGTGAATGTCCAGTGTTTATCTTGCCTGCGGGCCTTGAGCAGGAAGTGGTAGATTACTTATCCCACGAGGCAAATTAACACAGGATTTAAACAGGGCCTGGAAAATAAGCTCCCATCTTGAGAAAGTGGGTAGTAGGAAAAGTCATGCCCCCCATGAGGCATGTAACTCCAGGAACAATCTCATATAAAATTTATCAAATTGCAGCAAATAAGGTACCATTCATGGTCTCAAGAGTTACTGATTTTTTTTTTCTCTAAAGAATGAAGTTCCTTTTCATAATGCTGGTAAAGTGACTCCAATACCTAAATGGCTTTAAACTAAAGAGGGCAGGTTTAGATCAGATACTGGGAAGAAATTCTTTGCTGTGAGGATGGTGAAACACTGGAACAGGTTGCCCAAAGAAGCTGTGGATGCTCCATCCCTGAAAGCTCTGGATGGGGCTCTGAGCAGCCTGATCTAATGGAAGGTATCAGCTGGAGGCTTGATACRTGCCACAGTAGCCAAATTCTTCCTGGCCACAGAATGGTTGTGGTTGGAAAGGACTTCTGGGGATCATCTAGTCCAACMYACTCSTATGCCAGCCAAAACACAGCTGGTGTCTTATTCATTTGAAGGTATCAATATTTGAATTGCTTTAATACATGCAGTATTAATGCAGTAATTCAAAAAGGAGTGCTGTGCTTTTTTCTCTGGAATAGTGCCTGTCAGCAGGCATCAAAGCACCAAGCGTGACTGCTCTCCCTGTCCTTARATGCTTTTTGCACAACTCCACACCATCTGTAATGAAATGCTGCAGAGTTTCKTCTTGATTAACACAAATTGCTGTTCTTGTACATTAAAAGAAAGTAAGACTTCCTGAGAGGGTACTGGGCTCACTGATAGCTGCAAGCAGCATGGCTCTGGTTAGTCTAGAACAGATTTTTCATTGCTAAAATGCACTGCTCAGCCTTTGCATCATTTCTGGGTGGGAGTTGTGGTCCCATCCAGAAGTGCTGTTCCATAACCATGGAGTGGTTATGTGTGAGATGGGACAGTCTGAGCATATTTCAACAGCATTTGACTGCTGGTTGAACAAAACAATTTGCTTTTACTATGAGTATGCAGAGCAACACATCACTAGTCCTTGCTCAAGTGCTGTGCTGTTTCCATTGCCATAGGCAAATTCCTGGGATGAAGGTGACAGTGCCACCACAGCAGCTGCAGGCCAGGTCCTCCTGGGGCACRAGCCAAGTACCCAGCCCAGCTTTGAAAGCCTTTGATCAGTGGCATTTAGTGACAGGCATGGCAGGTACTCTTTTGGCTGTTGAATAGCCTTAGCAGCAGATGTTGAAGTATTAGGGTGTAAAAGAGAATAAAAATGTATGCAGTTGATTAGCAGCAGCTCTAAGCTGCTGTATTGCTTCTGGTCCTTCCAGTGGTGCAGYTGTTGCAGGTCACTCAGAGATACATGATTTCAGCACAGTTTTTTCTACAAAAGTGGGGGTTTCCAGAAAAATTACAGCTGCAGAATGGAAATTGGTGGGAACTGATTACGGGTTTAATGTCACTCCTTCTCTTTGGTTAGTGTTGCAGAAAATRCATTCCTGACTGCTGTTTCCAATGCTACATTTAGCAGCCTGTTCTTCATGCAAGGTACAGCATCTTCCCAGAGCCTGCCTGCATTTCTAGGGACATTCCATGTCTTGTGTCACCTCCAGCTTTCACTGGTGGGAAGTCAGGTGGAGTTATGGACCCCGTTATGGATCCCAAGCACTTTGTGCTCACCTCGTGTCAGCATTGCTTGTATTAAGTCTAAGACAAGGCATTTACATCAAAAAACGTTACCTCAAGTAGGCTGAGACAAACATTACCCTATTCCCCAACACACAGAACAAGGTACACAAAATCCCCGGGTGATAAAAGCAAAGCCTGCCAGCCTCACCGTTAGCAGTGGCCAGAGTTAATCACCCAGAATAACCAGAAGGTTAATCAGGGAAGCTGRTTCTGGTAGTTAATGTTCAGCTAAGGGCAAAGAATTTTCTGAACTCATTTCCCCAACAGAAGKGGCAGGAGTAGTGGGGGAGGAGGAAAAAGAAGGGATCTTTATCATGGTGAGAATCAGGGAACCCTTTCAGGTATCTCTTTGACAACAGGACTATTTGGAATTTTTTAAATATATTTTTTTAGTATTTATTCTTTAATTTTTTTGGGGGAGGGGGGGTAGATATATGTTTGCTGCAGTTCCTGCCTTATGCTGCTGGTGCTCAGGGCCAGGGCAGCCTTTGCTGGGCATAAATGTCTTTCCCCTTTGCTGTCAAAAGACMCTGAGAAACCAGGGGATACAGAAAGTCACAGCTCTGCATCTCCATACCCCCCCCTGTACTAGCATGAAGTAGTTGGAAACTGAAGTAAAGCTTCACTGTAGATAGATGAACTAAAATATTYTGAGTGGGGAATACATAGGTCTTGCTCTTTAAATATGCTGCTGACTGCTAGGGAAAGGCAGGCTATGGAAGAGAGCCTTAAAAGAGCTGGGAGTTGTAGTAATGAATCAAAATACAGATATGTTCTGAAAATAGGAAGTGGTATTTGCCTGCAGCTGAGAGGAGGAATATTCTGGGTTTTGGTGTTTTTTTAAGTCAGTAGAAACTCCACCTAATATAAGGAGCACAACATGGTTTTCTTTTGGAGTCAGACTCAAAAAAGTGATTTCTTCATTCTTAGGATCATACAACCACGGACTTGTTTAGGTTGGAAAGGACCTTTAAGATCATTGAATCCAACCATTGATCCTTCTTATGGGTCCCTTCCAAATTGAGCTTTGWTTCCATGATTCTCCAGCACTAACAGCGTGTAAGTACAGGGAACAATCCTTGAACTTACCCCTAACTCAAGGAGGGAAAGCCCATCAAACAGCATTTCCCAGCCTTCCCCAGCAGCTTATCCATAAAAACAGAAACTGCTTTGTCCTGCACCTCTTCAGATCAGTCTAACCMAAGCACATTATGAAACTGCAGTTTCACTTGCACTTTCTGAGCTGCTGCAGTAATGTCCTTTTCTTTTTTTGTGTAGTTACAGCTTCGTAGTTATAGAAATGTGTGTTCTCCTTCATTGACTTGACATTTATATGTCATCTCAATTTAAAAGAAAGCTATTTAGTTTCATAGTTCATTTTTCATCTTCTGGCTTCTGTCCATGACATCTTTTTTAAGAACACTCATCACTTTCTTCTTTAGTCAGTATTAGTTGCTGTATATGTTGTGTTTATGGTGAAACAGTACATGCAAATATTGCCCTTGCCCCCCCACCCAATACTGATTCAGGATGACAGATGGTGTTTTCAGTTTCTAAATTCTTTGCCCTAAATGTATCTTACAGCAGTTGCTTCTGTGTTTCTTATTTTGTCTTATGCAGGCAGCCTCCCAACCCCAAATGACCCAAGTTTTTTCTTCATCCAACAGCTCTTTAACCACAGAGCTTGAGAGCTGGAATTTTAAAGCATGTGCTGGAGCTGGAATCCCACTAGTACCACACATCACAAGAAGTTGGAATTCCACACAGCACCCCCCCAAATGTTGCATTATGATGCCAAAGTATGCATGCCTATGATGATCAAAAATACACATATGTGAATATATGTTTTCTGGCCATCATTCTATACATATAGAGTATATATTTATTTACCATCTATTACCATCATGGATATAAATGAAATATACCTATTTAATGATAGATGGAAGTATTGAAATCARCTCTTTCACTTCAGATGCAAATTGACAAAAGCATGGTGAGCGTTCGAAGCTGAAGGCAAGGGCTGCCAGCATTTGAGCTTTTTAAAAGCAGCATCACAGTGACTCAGATATTAGCTCAGAATTGAAGTCAGCACTCCCAGGTAGTCACAAGGATGCACAGGAACTTGAAAACTCTCTGATAAGCACATGCTTTTTTTTCAATCCACACCTGAGTCTTTGGTGGCTGAAGCCAGAAGCCCTTTCCTGCCTCTAATTTATGTGTGTTAAAAATACTTGAAATCAATAGAAAAGCTGTTGCATGTATTTTAGAGTTAGTTTAGTCTTTTCCTCATTGTCTGTGAACTGAAGAAAGTACCAAGGGACATTGGACAGTGAAGGACAAGGAGCACCTCAAAGCCCCCTGAGCATTGTTTTCCTGTACAGGAATGGGTGTGAAGGGTGTAGGGATGACCAGGCTTTGGCCATARGAGAGGATAAATGGTTTGCAAATGCAGCTTCTGCTTTATGACTCGTGATTTAGAGGCCCAGCATGTTTCTAGCAGTAAACCACTAAATATTTTCAGAAAGAGGGAGTTTATTAACATATTGCCTCACACCAGTCCTTTTTCTGCCTATATGACCTTTCCAAAGGGGCAGTGCAAACAGTAAAAAATAATAGAAAAGGAAGTACTGAGCTATGATCAGGGTCTTATGACTTAGTTTTCATATGCTCACATTCATACTCATTATCTCTTCTTGTTTATTATTCTTAGGCTGTTTTTCAGGGGGTTGATGGCATCTGAAACAGAAAATTTATTTTAGAAAGGGCTTATAGTGTTCAAAAGACAATGCTCACACTTCTATTAAATTTGACACTCTCTAAACTTCTACTGAAAAATATTAGTATTAGTAGAAAGCAAAAAAACCTGCATTATTTCCCAAAATGAAGATAAGGTACTGCTTTCAGTCTCAAACAGAGGCAGGGCTGCTGCTGTCAGCTTGCACTGCAAGCTCTTTKCTGTGCCATARAATTGATTTAAACCAGGACCTGATSTGAGCTGACTGTATAGAAAGATGGATTATGGTGGATGGATTAAAGCTGGTGTTGTCAAATACAGTTGCTTTTGCTTGATTCTCTGTGAGCAAGTAACTACCTGAAGATTCTGGTGGGGTTGTTGTTTCAAATGTGTAAGCAAAGTCTGTTTTTTAACTCCATCTCTTAATAAAAACACAGACTGTAAGATCCAAGTGCACCCTACAGGTTTCAAAATCAGATTGAAAGGAGACAGGAATCCAAAACATGGAGTTTTTGTTTTGTTTTGTTTTTTTATCATGGCCCATTTATTTCAAAGCCTATTTTAATTTAATTTTGGGGAAAAGAGTAGATGGCTTCCTTTTGAATTATATTGGCAATACCAACTCTCCTACACTTAATGGCAAAGTGAGTTGCAAGTTCTACTACCCCAAAGTAACAAGAAAGAAGGGGAGTCATAAACCATAGAATGATTTGGGTTGGAAGGTACTTTAAAAACCATTTTATCTCAACCCTTGCCATGCACAGGAATACCTTCCACTAGATCAGGCTGCTCAGAGCTCCATCCAGCCTGGCCTTGGACACTTCTAGAGATGGGGCATCCACAGCTCTCTGGGCAACCTGTGCCAGGGCCTCAACACTGTCAAAGGGAAGAACTTCTTTCTAATAAGAAAAGAGAAAGAACTTCTTTCTAATAAGGTTTGTTCTGGGTTTTGTTAAATGATCACTGGTATTGTTGGGAAGTTTACTTTTCARTAATTTCAAATTATTAACTAAGGAYGCAATAATTTGTGATTCACATGAAGCAGTGGTGATTCCACAAGGCAGAAAACAATTCAATAACATCCTCCCAGGGATTGTGCACCTCAGGGAGTGTCCTTGGATCACCAGTAGCTCTTATTGCCTTCCTCTGGGCTCTGGAAAGAGCTTCAAGAACAAGGAGCTGCCTTCACCAAGTGCTTCAATTTTACAGGTGGGAGGTTGTGCAGAGCCCAGTGAATCCTGGAACATCTTCCTCACTCAATGTCTCTTCACAGCCCTCACTGAYGACACCATTTGGTTGGATAAATGAGGCCTCCTTTGGGTACCCAGGGTCAACAGAGGAAGGAAAAAAAAGTCCTCATCCTTAGAACAGTGGGATTTGTGTCCTAGAATAATGACAACTGCTAATGTTATTTATGACTGTAGATTTAAACTTACATTGGTGTTTTGTTGATTTGCACAGAAAATCAGACTACCATTTAAAAGTAACATTACTATTACTTTTAAATAATGTGGCTCTATATTTATCTACAAATTGCAAAGTAAAGCAACATCAGTCAATGACCTCAAAACTAGAACTCTGGGAAAAAAGGAGTATTAGAATTATACATGCTGGTAGAAGCGAAAATACTCACAGAGGATACAAGGAATATGACTTCCAATGAATTGATAAAAGAAGTTTTATTTCTGAAAGAGAAGAGACTAGAAGAGTAATGGAGAAGACTCCTTTAGGGTCTAAACATACATCCAAGTGCCAGTAATTCCTACATTTGTAACTTTTATCACTTCCYATTCTTCTGGAATCTGAAATAAATCCTGAACATGCCTCTGAATCATCAGGTGACTGATTCAGATGACTCCAAACCACCCAGTCATCACAAGAAAGCATTGACAGTACTCCAAGTATTGTGACAGTCTTTCACAGAACTGTCATGCACACAGACAGAACCTAGAAACTCCTTTTACTCCCTCAGAGCTGTTTATGGGTTTTTTTACCCATAAGGGATTGTATTATCATTCCTAGTATAAGTATTGAAAACAAGTGATAATAGTTTGTGGCAAAGCCAGTTTATTAGGTTTCTGGGATTGTGCCTTGCCTGCCCCCAAGACATAGAAAAGAACCCARCTTTACAGTCTGGTAAAATGAAAATACACATATGAAGTATTCAGTACTGTGACATCCATTCTGTGGGCAGAATATCACCACTGAAAGCCAGGAAGCAACACTGAATCCTGCATTACTGACCACACTGCCTTCATGGCAGAACCATTAAAACATGCTTTGTGCCGAACATGGAACTACACACTTGAACACCATTTCCACACAATTTTCATGACATGAAGGCCCTTATTTACAGGTTGTGATAACTCAAATAAAGCTTAACAGATGTGCAGATGTTTCAGATCAAATTTAGCAGTAATACTACAGCTACATTTTTTTCTTACCTCAATTCCCAACCTGACTGACTGACTKCAAAATTCTTAGTTCTGGGATATTTTTTATTAAAAAAGGAAGAAAAAAAGGACAACAAAAAGAATACTTGCTGACATACKTAGTATACAAATAATTAAGATGGATCCTTTTCAGAAAAAGGATTAAGGACATGAGTGAAAAACAATCTGTCCAAMAGGACTGTAAACCATATTTATTTACAATAGTATAAACATAAATTTAAGATCAATCTTTTTCTTAAAAAAATCAGTAAGGACACTAGTGTTAAAAAGGTGATTGTTTCTGAAACAACTGTAAATTCTAGTCATGTAAGATTCACAGTGAATACAAAAGCTCCCTTTTACAAATGTTTCCTAAGCAAAAATACTGTCACAATTAAAGCAGCTTTATACAGGAAAAAGTATTACCTTTTGTTTMGATTCTTTATAAACATCTTAATCATAATTGACCAAATTTAATGCTCTGAATCTAGAAAAAAGTCAACACATTTTGCTCAGTATAAGTTGCAATGAAATTACATCCCAAGATTTGTAATAGTTCACATAATAATTATCTTCTTTCAGTAATTTGTTTCTAACRTGATCATTAGGGTGGCAGCTTCTGAACTTGCCCTTCCATTTAGTTTCCAGTAAGCAACATATGGCACACATTGCCAATAAAAAAAATCTTCATTTAGACTTCAGTTCCTTCAAAAACTAAGTCACAAAACTGTTTGAACTGCCACATGAATGAAGCCATAGATTGCATTCTGTGGCTTACATTTCACTTTATGCAACTATGTGCAACTTAGCACCATATTTATTATGAAACTTGACCTTATTATGAAACTTCATCTTCAGACAGAACTAAAAAAAGCAGTTTCAATTATGACAAAACAGAAAAAGATGTTGTAGAGGAAGAATTTCCCTCATCTGATCCCTACTAGCTCACATTAGTAATGCCAAGGATGTCCCACACACAGTTACATTACACAAGCAGGTTTTATCTCAAAAATYGGTARCAGATCACATACTTGGTCGATTTAYTCCRTATTTCAAGACCCAATTTAGTTTGYGTTTGGAAATACTTTAAGAATGTACCATATTCTTAAGCATTCCCATTCCTGAAATATRTTATCAAGTTGGCTTTTCAAGGTATTTGAGAAGCACTCATGATCTCTAAAGACCTGCAAACCCCTTATCTTTGAAACCAGTATGCTTCTGGCAAATTCACCCWATCTTTTACTTACTTAACTGTTTTCACTTACCCTGAGACACTCAAATACATCAAAGCACCTTTAGAAAGACATCCTCATTTAAAGTTTAGTAAGATCAGAGAACYTGTGGACAGACAGGGTCCCAATTTTACCCCAAATACTGTGCTACAGTAAATTCTATAACATGGAACACATAGTTTAGTATCACATACTAATTATGAAAAATAAATAAAGTTTTAAGTATCAAGTGTCTAGAGGCAGGRGAGAAATTTGTCAATTCTCTTACCACTGCCATGAAGAAACAGACTGAGTTTATAGTGGAACAGGCCAAAACCTAGCAGTTTGTACTGACACTGACAGCCCAAACTTGGACAGACCTGTTTTTGTTTTTATAATAGAAAGGTAACTGCTTACTAATTTGCTAGCAGTCACCTAATATTCCTTAATATGCCAAAAATCTCCCCACTTGCTGACCCAAAACCCAAGTTCCCTGGTTGTCACAAAAGGCTCATTCTCCTACACTATTCCAATGCAAGCAGCAACCAAAAATACTAGTAAACTGACCTACTATTTATAATCTTACCACAAGTAATGAGAACAACCTCAGGCAGCAAGAGCTCATGTAGAGTTGCTTTGTCAAAACTTCACTTGAAAGTTAATATATTCCCATATATTAATAGWGAAACTTTAGTAATTCAGAAAGTACAGTTACAAAGTGCAAGAGCATGAAATGTGCACATCTACACCAGGAAAACTAAAAACAAAACCCCACATTAAAGTGCCTAAGAGATTTGCTGTAATTGCTACCAAAACCCAGAACTTTGCCAAGATCATAATTTTGAAGCACTTGCAAACAAGACAAGGTGATAGCCAGTGAAAGTGTGACCTAACACCAGCAGGATGTGGTAGGTTTTGGTTCAGGCTTTATATGTATTTCATCATGATCTGGGGGTTGACTAAGCATTAGTGGCTTGTGACTTTTAAGCTTGTGAGCCAGTGTCATGAATATGGCCTCCACATGGTCATTGTCATTGGGGTTTTTGGCAGAGGTTTCAAACAATGGCATGCTGTGAGTGTCAGCAAACTTCTGGGCCAGGTCCGTGGGCACTTGAATTGCACTTCTCAGGTCACATTTATTTCCAACCAGAATCCGTGGTATATCGTTGGCAAGAAGGTGCTGTTTGCATTCCTCTATCCAAGATGGCAGGCTGTGGAAACTGGCAATGTTTGTCATATCATACACAAACACCACAGCATGTACATTCCTGTAGTAATGCTGCACCATGCTCTTCCTGAAGCGCTCCTGGCCTGCAGTATCCCATAGCTGTATCTGAAAATGGAAAGATAAGGAGAGGAAAAAATGGTTTATTACTCATCTTGGAAAATAACACAAATTACCTCTAAGAGCAGGAGTTATATGATCACAAATATTTACCCTTCTGAATTAATTAGACTGACAATCTTTCTTTGTGCTGAAGAAAACCATTGCATTCACACAATTTCAGAAGCTTTGGCTTTAAAAGCTGAATACAAGTGAGGCCAGGAAGAATGGCCTCAGAGAGGCCTTGAGAGAAAATACAAATTTCTGAAAGTTTATTGGAGCCTGTATTTTTAAAGACTTTTATAAAAACAATTTCAGAAGTCTTAGCAATAGCACTTCCATTTGAAAATAAACTGAAATAGATGTTACTTCCCAGTACAACTCTCAGCTCAAGATTTTTGTTATTGCCAAAAATAATCTCATCTTCCCCAAAATGTTGTTCTTAGCTTGACATTAACTGCCATGTAAAAGCAGGAAGAAATCAAACCATGCTTGATTTCAACATAGCCACCAACAAAAACAAGACAAAAAAAATCTTTCTCTGCAGTGTGTTGGAATCAAACCCTCCTGTGTTAAACATCTAATTAAGCTTATTTAATGCTTAAACTGGGATCATACTGTTGTTTGGAGTATCAACTAATGCATAAAAGGAAAAAAAATTTAAAAAAACCCACCCAAAAACAGAACAAAAAAAACTCCACACAAAACAAAACAAAATAAACAAAAAAAAAAACCAAAAACCCTTCTGTTAGCTTAACAATGTGATTATTGTTTCCAGGTGCACCYCATTCTGTCCAAACCAAACTGAATGTATGTATTTGAAGCTTAATCAGAATAGAAAGACATTTCGAAAAACTGAAATGCTTTCAAACTGCTGGGGTCCAGATTAAAACCATAAAATAAAACAAAACAGCACTTACCAGCAGATGTAAGCAACAACCAATAGAAATTTTAAATATATTGATCATCCTGTGTAATGGAAACATGGAGCCCTCAGACATGTAGAGAACGCTACAGAATTGTCACACTGCTGTTTACACAAACTTGCTCTCCAGGAGACAAGAACTGCAATGCACAGCAGTCAGAGCCCCTTCACCTGTAACACCACATCACCTTACACTGTCAGAAATAAACTGGTGTATGGCTCTATCATACACACACCTTAGTGATGGTGAAACATCTGAAAGATTTTCTGGGAAAAAGTCGAGTCCTAACTTCTTGTCTGTCCTGTACAGCTGATCCCTAATGGCTGAGGAAGTTTGATAAGTACTTTGGCTTTTGAGMAGAAATTTTTTCCTCCCTGGGAATGAAAAGAGTTTTCCTTGAGACTCAGAACTCAAGGCTGCAGACAATGATATAAATCTAAAATTCAATCTGTTCTCATGAAGTTGCAGCCACTATGTAATTGTTGAAATTGTTCTCCCATTACCATAGCTCTGCATTTCTTTGATTCAAACGTTTCAGTAACACTTCCTTAGAAACTGCAAGCATCTTAAAAGTTGTCTTGTTTACCACTTTAACCAGTGACTTTTTATATTAGAAAAAAGGAAGCCCAAGTGCCAGGGAAATCTGCCAAGAGCAAGAAGGTGTATTACTGAYAGAGAGGATTACAGTATAACATAAAATTCTTTTAAAAGCTACAATAGCAGAAATAGGGTGAAACTGAACAGAAGCAAAGTCTTGATTACAGTGACTGACAATAAGGACTTTTTCTTTAAGCACAGGGTTCACAGGTTGGAAATAATTAAAATGGATGACAATCCAGATGCATGAGTCGGTCACAAGATGTTATGAATCAGTGATGATAGACTGAAGGATAAAAAGTTAGGGCTATTCCAGATGGTGTGRATTTTTCTACAATATTATGTTCAAACCCAGTCACCCTTCTTGAAAAGAACTCAGACTAGAGCAGGTGGGAATGGCAGCTACTGGTCCTCATGCAAATTCTCAGTTCCCCAGAGGCAACATCAGAGAAGCTCGGCTTCTGTAGTCTACTCCAGTTCTCTGCAGATTTTGATCCAGAGACTTAGAAAGACGTGTGTGCAGCTTCTGAAAGGGTCATTAAGATTATTAGGAAATATTTTTAGAGTAAACCCCCACTTTTTGTTAATGGTATTACACACTACACAAAACTGATAGCATCTCCATGGTCTGTTGAGCGAGTCTACACAATCAGACTGAACACAGGCACTTAAGTTTGGGTAGGGTTCAGTCATACACCCAGGTGACACATATGTCCAGTTCTATGCACTTATAAAACACTATAAAGACAGGAGACTCATAGAAAATGTTCATGAATTTGACAAATTAAAGAGAAAAAAAAAGAAGTAGACTGAAGCAGTATGTATGAACAACATAATATTACAGAATCACTACAGATAGATCTTGGAAAATGCCGTATCAAATTAATTTAAAAAGGGAGTTAATTTTCACAGGCAGCTGTGAGCTTACAATTCTCTCCCCAACTTACTCACAGAGTGGAAACGAGTCATGCTCTGGTCAAGCAGAGATGTGCAAGTGCATCCTCAGCCTTAGGTAAAGATGGGAAAATTAAATGAAAGGTTTACATAATTTGCAAGTGAAGTTTAAACTACAGTTCTTCCTAAATTTCATTTTACGTGAAGCATTCAAGCTTGAAGGGCATTATCTCAAATTAAAAATACTAATATWGTTAGTATTGAATCATTTGCACYGAGAGRTAAATCCTTTGCCAATATTGAAAACTGCTCATTTTAGAAGTTTCTTTTCTTCCTCTTTCCAYGTGAACTAGAGGAAACCGTTCCATTTCTGCCTTTCCCCCCAAATATATTCTCTTCTGAAAAACAACACTGAAAAAGTTCTCGTTAACAGATGTGCACTGATGAGGTAACATTAAGATTACTTTTCRTTGTTAGTCCAATAACACCCATCTTCAGGGGAACACGTTTTTTATAACATCCCTTTAAACRATGTATTTTGATTATTTTGTTTAACAGCATAATTCAGCTAATAAAACTGTACAGAAACACTTGGTCACATTCYCCAGGAAAGCCAAATAGCATAAATATTAAATACACTGACTCAGCTATCACATCCCATCTTCTGACTCCGTTCTGTGGATCCAGAAAGGGCTCTTTTCTACACAAGGACTCACTTAGTATGCGTGGTTTATAACACACTGGTAAAAACATAACTGGCCTCTGATAAAGACAAAATGGTAAGCTACGTCTCCTTTAAAAAAATGTAGGAAAAAATTCTGAATAGCTCAAAGGTACAGAACATGATGTTCAGACTTTCTTCTTTGAATTTCGTTTCAATCTTTTGCTCTTTAAATATAGGTCAGTGAAGACTGACWTTGTTTTCTTCAATTTTCAATGCTTGGATGAATTGAGGAAGMGGACAATTTAGAAGGCAGCAAATCTATTTGTGGAAAGTTTTAATTTTAAATCATCAAATGATTTAGTTTTAAATCATCACATTTAGATATCAGTGTTTGATATGAAGCTGTCAGCCTACTGTATAAGGAATAGACTTGTTCCTGTGTCTTGGAATTCTACCATTGCTCGGCAAGAAGAACTGTGCTTGTGTTCCTGCTGATGACACAGCACTTTTCCAGCTGTGAGGAAAACACTTAGTGCTGTAGCAGCACAAGAAAGAACCATCCAGCTGGCTGGGGAAAAGAGAAGACACTACTTTATAACCTCCTTCGATGCAAGACAAAAAAATCCCTTCAGGGCGCAGCAAGGACTACAGTAATTCAGTTCATCAGAGCGTCTCTCTCCTGGTTCAAGAGGCATTGCTAGAGCTGACTGCTACACGTGAGAAAGGTGAAGTGAGAGAAACCCCCCAAATTGGTTCAAACTTGACAACACTCCCACTAAGAACTAGGGTCCTGGCCATAATTATAAAATTTATTCCTTCAAAGCTGAAGCAGAACTCACACAAAACAATGTGTCTGAGAAGTGCCTCCTTCACTTCTCCGCGTTCTGCAACCAGAACTGGTTTATTCTACAGGTAATATCCTGAACAACGCAGCAAAACAATCTACCAAAACAYATATAACAGAATGGTGCAATAACCTATGTGAAGCATCTCAGAGCTGTGGATTAGGCTATGGTCTTCTTCACKTCTCTCCAACAAAGGCCAGGCATCATTCAGAGATGATGAAAATGCCAGTTAATAAGATGACAACACCCCTTAGGAGGTTCTCTCCTCTGTCAGGGACAGCAACTGACAAAGAAGCACAGAATTTCAGCTGTCAAAGAACTTCTAGTCAGTGTTTAAAGAAAAAAAAAAACAAACAGAAAAACCCCAAAGCAACAAAGATTCCTATCCACCTTTCTTTTTTAGTTAAAGAAGGATACCACCTTCTTTAAAGGTGGTATCTTTTTCTTAAAGAAAAACCACACAAGAGCATGAAAGCAAATTGTATTTCCTACTCTTATAGATCTTCCATAATTTCTTTAATCAGTAAATAAGCAAGGAAAAACTACAGCTTTCTGCTATACAACTGTAAGCTGTAATTATAAAGTCCGATGATAATAAATGCCAAAGTTCAAGCTCAAGATTACTGTTAACTTCCTTTTCCTGCACAACAGAGCTTTCCTCCTAGAAACAAAACTGTAATACAGAAGCAGATGGGAATTCTGTTTAAAACCATGTTAGTAAACAAACTGCACTTGTAAGCTGCTACAGACCGTTCTGCAAATGACTGTTACAATCATAACTAGCGTTTATCCACTAGGCAGACTAGGTGTATTCGACATGCTTTAATAACAAATTTGCTTTCCAGTGCAAAAAGATAAAAGAGCATTCTTTTCCTCCCATACAATTTTTAACTTAATTCCGTAAGACTGAGATTTGGCTAAACCTACAAAGTAAAAACATAATCACATGTGAGCCAAGTATCCAAGCAATCACTGTCCAGATCGGCAGCACATTTGCCCAAACACACAGCAAACTTAACAGGATCCTAAGAATTAGAAGCTCACACATTGTTCARTCCTGAAGAATATTCAAGTTTCTAATATTTTTAAAGCAAAATGATCACAACAGTGGTATCTACATAGTTTTGTAGTGTTGAAGGTAAATCAACTATGATTTCTGATGAACAAAGAAGCAGAATTACTCGGAGGCAACACGCCGCTGATACCAAGCACAAATCAGACTAAAATACTGCAAAGATATCTATCTATTAGCCCACTGTAAGGATAAAGTACTGATTAATACCTGACAAAAGACGCACGAAGGCTTGGCCTATGGGTAGGAATTGGYTCATCATCACAGAAACCTACATCGTGACTACGTTTCCAACAGAAGCAAGGCCAAGCACTGAAACATTTTCAAGGCAGACACAGCTGCGGCTGCTGGCGACGCGACCCCGCCGACCTAAACTTCAGAATCACGGCAGTGACAGGAGGCTTGGAGACCCCTGTGAAGGGTGCGGCCGGGGTAAATGTCCCGGCTGCCCTCCGCCCGCCATCCCCTCAGCCCAGCGGTACCTTGATGCGCTCGCCGTCGATGGCCACGGCCCGCTCGCGGAAATCCACGCCGATGGTGGCCTCGGTGCGCTGCGGGAAGCGGCCGGCGCAAAAGCGGTAGGTGAGGCACGTCTTGCCCACGTTCGAGTCCCCGATGACGATGATCTTGAAGATGCGCGAGCGGGCGGGGGGCAGCGCGCCGGGGAGCGCCCCGGAGCCCGTCAGGCTCAGCTCCAGCGAGGACTCCACGTCTGCCGCCGACATCGCGGCCACAGAGCCCGGCAGCGCGGACGCCGAGCCCTCAGCACAGCCGCCGGCCGCCCGAGGCGCGCGCCGCTCTCGCGAGGGCGCGGCAGCCAATCCCCGCCGGAGGGGC